CTCCTGAACGCAAGTTTCGTGCACCCTGTGAGCCCCGTAGGCAACTGTTAGCGTGGGAGTACAATCGACGGAGCAGTTTCTCTACGATGAGGGGCTCCAGATATGCACGATTGGAGTAGCCACCACCCAGCGCTTCTGCAAAATTTCAGTGCATTCGAGTGCGATTGCGAAGATGACCGCAGAGTAGCGCCGTCGTACATTGGAGGGTCTTAGGAGACGATACGAGACAGGAAAGCGTGAGGACCTTGAAAGCGGTCAGTTGTCCGTTTCAATTGATGATGTGTCTTGTGTGGTCTCTTTCTCTGGCCTGCTACCGCTTAAAGAAATGAGCGCGTGAGATACATGTCTCATCATGGGACTCGAAGCTTGCTTCTGTTCTGTTCTCCGTTGTCAAAATCGTGTCCGCACGGAGATATTGCAAGTAGGCAAGATATCTTCAAATCCCCCCGTCTTTTAAGCTCCCTGCTGCTTGAAACGTCTCGAATACAGCCAGCTCTCGATTTGGCGTGCAGAGTAGGGAATCCGAGATGGAACAAGGACGATATTTTCAGCTTCGGCTGTACACAAGAGTGCACTCTTCCAGACTCCCTTATGAATCAGCTTCTCCATCAACGCATATCGTAATTGTCCGCTTCTACTCACACTTTTCTCTCATATCATCTGCTCATCCATCTCCGACCACGCAGGGATCAGTGCCTTCCTCGAGTCCCATACAGATCGAACGTCCCTCCACTTTCTGTTTTCCATGCGACATCGATTGCTCAAGTTTATGCGCTGTGAAATTTCGCGGTCTGAATCTTTCCAATAATCTTTTAACGGCGTCTCCGTACCTGAGGCCGGCGGATGGTGATGGCCTGGGTGAACGGGGAGAAGAGGGAGTAAGGGTAAAATTGCTGGAAGCGCGACGGTGAGCACATCGATTCAAAGAATTGCAACTCGCCAAAAGTCCGCGCTAGGCTGTAAGCTCTCTTGAACGGTCGAGAGGCTTGACAATGAGCAAAGCCCAGACGATGGGGCCTGGGGACTTCCGGACCGGCTGGCTCCGCGCGGGCCATATCGATAACAGTCCATGTCCAGAATGAATGTATACAGAGCACGAGTAGCAAAAGAAAAAAGAATATAATTTCGGAGTGCGAAGCAAAAGTCTTTCCATTCGATTGAATAAGAATAAAGCTACCACAGCCGAAAGTATCGCCATTGACACCCGCGCCTGAATTCGAGCCACATGCAATACCGAACTCCAAAACATCCAAAACCAAACCACAATTTGACAAAAACTTCAGGCCCCGAAGGACCCTATCAAACTCACCCCGACGGGCAGCTGCCGAGGTTGGTTTCGTCGTTCTGCCGCTGCTACTCCCCATGCCACTTACCGCTGCCCTTGCCGAATCGCGATTCTTGCCGTGGTAGAACGAATCCAGCCACTGCGCCAATCGCGATTGGCGAAGGGGCAGCGGAAAGAAAATTATATATAGCTTGCTTTTTCGGAAAAAGTTTAGGCCGGCGTTCACGTGCTTGGCCGCTCAGGGGCGGCGAGGGCGGCACGCTCGCTGGAACATTTACAGACACGGACATCGCTATTAACTTCTCCTTTCCTACGCTCGCATACTCTGTTGCTATAACTGACGACTTCGCAGAGGTTAGCACAGGTCTCGATAGTTGAGGACATCACGACAGCACGCCAGTCAAGAAGCGGGAACGTCACGAAGGATATCTCGCGCCGAAAAGGAGGACAAACGGACACAAAGTCAGCACTACCGCCGCAATCGCTCTAGAGGCAGTCACTGTCGCTGCAGCTACCACCATCAATGCTATCGCTGGGAAAGGCAGCGGAAAGGGAAGACAAATATCCACCCACGGAACTGCAGGGCTACAAATTCCCAAGATCTCAGAACTTCTCGGCGACATCCTGAAGCGCCTCGAGATCAAGAGCTTCGCCATCAGCCGCGCCGTCTGCAGTATCTCCGAGCGCCAATAAATACCAGGAAATCAGCGCCCTCCGACTCGCTACCTTCCGGCCTCCAGACAACGAGCGCGATCCCCACGATGTTGACATCAGGCATCTTGGCTTGAGTACAGGAGGCGGCGAGGGAGTATTGAACACGAACCTTCCAGTTCTCCAGTAACGAAATACTCCCACGACATGGTCACGACATAAACCCTCGGTTGAAGCGGGATTTCTTCCCGACAAGCAAAGACGGCAGCCAGACGGTCAAAGAGAACAGGCACTTCGCAAGACCACAGCTGCGAATTGGAGGGCTACAAATTCCCTTCTCGAGGCCAGCTCGTCCGGACCTTGAGCTAAAGTGGGATCCTGAGAGCTAGCGACGACCAGGTCAAGCCTTGGATATACTCTTACCTCGAGTTCATGAAGGCTCGGCCCAGCCTGAGAGACGGAGGTGCAAATCAGAAAATGCAGGATTTGGTTGAAGAGGAAATGGAGATACTCAGATGACGATTTAAACATATCGAGAGAACAGAACGCAAAGCACTGCGTGCTGCACGCGGAGCTCGTCCCAGAACGTATTTGGATCTCTGAGGCCTGCCGTGTATCAGCGCTTCTGCGCGCTCTGGATGGAAGAACGACAGAACGTGCCATTTGAAACTTCACGCTTCCATCGGCCTGACTCTTGCTGTCGGAAACAAACAGCTTAGCAACGGCTGCGGATGGCTCTGATCCCCTCTAACGTCGTTAATACCAAACTCACCACCCTTCACTACCTCCTATCCTCCGCTAACGCCACGCAAACCTATTCCCGACATCAGAATGGCTAGACTTGCCAGCACGTGCACCTCTCTCCACCCCATCAAACTAAAGCTTCCAAGACCAGTCAACACAGCGGTACATTCTCCAAAAACCCTAGGAGCCCCATCGCAGCTACACACCAGGCATATCGCTCTCTAAACAACCCAGCCCACGCACGGGAAACCTCAGTCAAGCAAAACTGTAGACCAGCAGACGCAATCATCCTTCCTTATATATACAACCCCGGAAAACCACGAAAGATCAGATTACAGTGTCAGAAAATCACGAACCATTAGATTCGAAGCTTAGATTCAAAGCTCCTCTTTATGGACGAAGGACGAGGGACGAAACAAGCATACAACTCATCCCCAACCCACCCTTCATCCTCTAGCTCATAGTACCCTACTTAGAAGAGTAAGATACAAAACAGCAACCCAGACACTGACGACAATTCGCTTGAAGTCTACATGGAGACAGCTCCTCCGCGGCCCGATGAACCTGTCCTCGTACGCTGACCTACCTGACGACTCTCAAGGTTTCGAAGCTCTAGGCCGGGACTCCTGAATCCCGCGGCACATAGTATATGAAACTATACACTGGTAGTTTTCTAACTATACCTAAACATTCCTATTATATGATAAGAGAGAGATATCTACAATCGAATCCGACTACACATCCGACTACACATCCGCTCCACTCCGCTCTATTGCGGCGGAGACGGAAAAGACTCGAGCGAGGAGGTAAAGCTAGTCGTAGTCTTTTCCCAAGTTCAAAACCCTTAATCCACTCTTCTATTCCTCGACGCATACCTATACCCATGCTCATCCCCCATCCCCCCGAGTAATTCATAGGCAGGAGGAGGACTTCGACGACAGTCTAGAGCGGAAGAGACCAAGCTTGACTCCAGGGTTGCGGTTGTTGTGGTACTACGCTTCAAACCCCTCCCCCCCAACCCCCCCCCCCCCCCCCTTCCCACTTGAACTTAAAACTTGAACTTGAACTTAAAACTTGAACTTGAACTTAAACTTGAACTTGTACCTTATAGATTTCGCGCTACTAGATAAGATAAGGATATTATTCGTATGTGATCTTTCGCAGTCGTCCTTTGCGATTGTGAAAACGTCAAGGGAGAGAGAGGATCTATTCCTCTACGCTACTAGATTGACCGGAATCTGTCTATCTGGCCTCCTTCTTTGCTTCAAATTCTAGCTTTTCCGCTAGATGCGGTCCAGTCCGGTCCCACCCTATCCTTCCCCAACACCCGCCCCAAAAAAAATAAAAATATCCACCCCTTCCCACCCCTTCCCACCACACGACACACCACACCACAGCACGCATCTCATCCTCCCAAACCTTAACCGAATACAATCCGATATCTTAAAACAAACGCATTCAATTCATTCCCGGAAACCGAAACCTCCATCCGAACCATCCATCCATCCGACTCTCTTACTCTCTTACTCTCTTACTCTCCAAGTCCCCAGCTCCCCACACCGCCGAATTCGATTCAATCCAATCCGAAATCCAAATTTTCGAGATTTCGAGAGTTTCCGCAATCAATAGCTAGTGCTGGTGCGGATTCGAAACATTCTAGCCCAAATGACTAGATCGTTCTGATTCGATTCGATTCGATTCGATTCGATTGGCGGCGTTGACGGGGTAGATTTGAGATTTGTCGTTCTCCGGGGAGAGAAAGTTGGAATCGAGAGAGGGGCAAAAGGGAAAGGGAGAGGAGGTGGATCGAGATCCTATTTTGGTGATAGCAGTTCGAATCCTTGCCAACAGCGTCGCGAGTCATGGATGAAGCGGTTTTGATCCGGCGGGAGCGGGTGATATCGTGGATTGATAGAGGTAGATTGAGGAGTGAGGAGGACCGCTTCGACGTTGTAAGTCGATAGGATCTTGGCGGTTGCAGCGTGGACCTTGTCCTCTTCCTCCTACTCGCCGAGAGGAATTGCGATTCGTGAAGATGTTGTGGGGGGTCTTGTTTGGTGGAACACGAATTGACATGGTCGAGAACGGGGAGTTCCGCTCTACCAGTTCCCTTCACCGTTCTCGCTCTACCATTTTCCCAACGCACACATATTCGACTCTTTGCCTCTCTTTCCTCCAACAAAGGCCGTACGACTGGACGAATTTATCGACGGAAATTCCTCCGTCACACATGCATGGATTTCCAGATCCTATCTGTGGGTGCCAATGTGTCGAGCATCGAATTCCCAATCATCATTCCTTCGGGATCATGGTTCATCCCTCACACCTGCACCACCTGAGCAGCCTCGACACAATCCTCCAACGCCGTTCTCCTCCCATTCACGTCCTTGCCCTCTTCCGCGTCTTGTTGCTTCTCCCGCATCCACTCGGCCGCCTTATTCTCGGCGAAATTCGCCGCGAGAGCGCCGGCGACGGCGCCCGTGACGGTGGAGTACTTCTTGCGGCCTTCGTCTGTTCGTTCGGCAAAGGCGCGACCTCCGATTGCGCCGATGCCTGCGCCGGCGGCGGCGGAGAGGAGGCCGTCGAAGCTGGAGTCGAAGTTGCGGGAGAGGAAGTTGCCTTTGTCCTGGTTCTTGGTGTTTTTGTCCTGGTTCTTGGAGTCTTGCGCGGATCGATTGGAGTTCTGGCCTCGTTGGGGTGGTTTGTCTTCGTCTCGTTTCCGCCGCGATTGTGACTGTGACTGGCGCTCTTGTTGTTGCTGTTGCTGCTCTCTTCTCCTGGGACGACTACCGCTGTCGGACGGAGCGCTGCGATGGTCGCGGTATCGGCTCTTCTCTACTCGTCTTCGGCGATAAGATGCGACATCGTTGTCAGGGTCTTGCTGGTCTGGTGTAGCCAGCTGCTGGTCTTCACTTTTCCGGGGTACCAATGCTGAAGAAGTCTCGTTTTGTGCGTCTTCACCACGCAGACTCCTCATCCAAGCCGCGCCCGCGTGGCCGTCGGAGTAGGCCGACTCTTGTTCCCATGGTTGGAGTCGTCGCACTCTGGTTTCTCGCTTTCGCTCTCCGGTCGATTGATCCTTGTATGTGATTGTTTCTTCGAGGTATCTCTCGCTTCTGTAATTGGGGCGAGACATGATGAAATGGAGTGGAGTGGAGTTTGGAAATCTTTCGCCGGGCGACGCTTCGGTGCTTCGAGGATCTCGGAATCCCGAGGAGCGACTCGTTTATGACGCACGAGGCGGTTCACCTTGTCATGAACGACCCACCATCACGCATCACAATGGACGAGGTGGTCGTCAATGGATGGCACGCTCAGGCAAGAGATGCAGACCTTATGTCTTGAAGACCTCGCGGAAGAATCACGGTGCGAGTTCACAGTGGGTGCATTGTCCATCTTCCTGCTTGGGAGTGGTGTCTCTCCCGTTCCTCCCAGGCAGACGCGATGTTGCGGCACTGTCAGTACCTGTTTCGTGTCGAAATGACGCGGCGGTGGGTGCATGAAACCTGCATGATGAGGTTAGTGACGAGAGCCAGGGGTGCAGATGATCAGGTATTATGGAACGTGAAGATGGCATCCGAGGAGGTACGCCGCCGACGCAACAGCCCCAGAAGTGTGTGGTGGGGTGGGATCAAGCAAAGCCAAGTGCCCGGCATTCCCCAACAAGCTTCCCCGCTGCCCATCCACTGCCCATCCGGCTCCGTCTCCCCGGCCAGCACCATCCCCGATGCGCCCGTCACATGATATGCTTCGCACAGCTGTGAGATGATGATTGGCTCGGCTGTGGTGCGCGTGCAAACGACTGGTGCAGGACGTCCGAGGCTGCGGGAAGGCGCGTGTGGCGGCGCATGGCTCCAACGCGCGCGAGAGGTGAGAGCGCGTGCAACACGAGCAGGAATCGGAAGCGACGAACGAGCGACGACGATTATGATTGGGGCAACGACGATGACGCGGCATTATTCCCCCTCGCCTTCCCTTTCCGCCGCGCGGTGGACTGCTGCAGCCTGAATTCCTCCCGTCGATCCTCCCTCCCCTGGCATCGCATCTCGCATCTCGCATCTCGCATCTCGCATCGCATCGCATCTCAGCTTGTTGTCTCTCATCACATCATCACCACACCCTCACCGCCGTCGTTTCCCGTTTCCACTCTGTTCCACTCCGGTCCCGTCTCTCTCCCTGCATCTCCCTCTCCACCTCCACCTCCACCTGTTCTTTCCTTCACCTACACCCGGTCTTGGTATCTTGGCGCTTTCTTGGGCTCCTTCCCCTTCTGGTACTGCCAACAATTCTCCCCCGCCGCATGGGTCTGGCGCCCTGATTGGATTGCGACCGCTCTTTCCTCGCAGCTCCGCCGGCTTGGCTTGGCTTGACTTGCTCGGACTTCCACCCCCCTCACCTCCGCGCACCATGCGCTTTCTCCGCCACGCCGCCGCCCTCGTCGCGGCGGCGGCAACGTCCGTCTCGGCCATCAGTCTCGACCTGCAGAGTCCCGGTACGGACACCTCGCCACATTCCCTGCTGCCCAACACTCTGAGTACTGACACCGACATGCGCAGACTCCATCAAGATGGCCGCCGCCACCGTCGCCAAGAAGATGGTCGCCTTCTATCCCGGAGACCAGCCCGGCGGCATCCCAGGTCTCCTCGGCGATCCGTACTACTGGTGGGAGGCCGGCGGCATGTTCGGCTCCCTGATCGACTACTGGTACTACACCGGCGACGACCAATACAACAACATCACCACACAGGCCCTGGTCTTCCAGCTCTCCTCCACCTACAACTACATGCCCCCCAACCAGTCCAAGTCCGAGGGCAACGACGATCAGATCTTCTGGGCTTTTGCCGTCATGACCGCCGCCGAGTACAAGTACCCCAATCCGCCCGACGGTACCCCTGCCTGGGTCTCCATTGCCGCTGCCGTCTTCAACAGCCAGGCCATCCGCTGGGACAACACGACATGCGCCGGAGGGCTCCGATGGCAGATCTTCACCTTCAACAACGGATACAACTACAAGAACTCGCCCTCCAACGCTGGCTTCCTGAACCTGGCTGCCCGACTCTACGCCTACACCGGCAACCAGACATACGCCGACTGGGTGGAGAAGACGTGGGACTGGATGACGGCCATTGGCCTTCTCAGCCCCGACTCTCAAGTCTTTGACGGAACCAACGACTTGCAGAACTGCACCGAGCTGGACCACGTGCAGTGGACGTACAGCGCCGGCATGATGCTGAATGCCGCCGCCGTCATGTGGAACGCGACCAACGGAACGGCTGCTAACTCAAGCACGTGGGAGACACGCCTGAACGGCCTGTGGACGGAATCGGCCAATGTCTTCTTCAAGGACAAAGTCATGCTGGAGATTGCGTGTGAGCCGGGCGGGAACTGCAACATTGACCAGCAGAGGTGAGCTGCAGCCCTACGGATGACCTGTGACGCCGTTGACTGACTCCTTCACACAGTTTCAAAGCCTACTTCACCCGCTTCGTCGTCGCGTCCACCAAATGGGCCCCACAACTTTACAACCAGGTCATGCCCTACATCCAGACCTCCGCCCAAGCTGCCGCCGCTCAATGCTCCGGCGGCACGGACGGCATCACATGCGGCACCAAATGGACCACCAACGGCGTCTGGGACGGAACGTACGGTGTCGGCCAACAGCTCTGCGCGCTGGAAATCATCCAATCGAATCTGATCCAGCAATCGTACGCCCCTGTGACCGCCTCTCGGGGTGGTATCAGTCAGGGAAACGCCAGCCTCGGAACGGGAGGCGATGACGGTGGCAATCCCATCGTGCTGTCTCCCATCACCACCGCGGACCGCGCTGGTGCGGGGATTGTGACGATTGTGGTGATTCTGGGCACGGTGGCGGGTGGGTATTGGATTATATCATAGGACAGACGAACCAACGACGACAGCAAATGTACAGCCGAAGCAGACGGCGCTTCTCATGGTGTGGCGTTTTTTCTTTATAAATCCTCTTTCGGGGAATGGGGATGAAATGGGAACGGAATGGATCGGGATGAAGCGGAACGGAATGGAATGGAAGAGGAATCCCACAGCACTGCTCTATTATGTGTGTAGAAACATGTAAACCACGGGGAGGAAGACGAAGAAAAAGCAGAAGAACGGCAATGGCTGCCTGGAAGGCTAGAAATGTCCCAGAAGACCCAACCCTCCTCACTACATCGTTATTACAACCCTAGGCACATGGTCGCATCACGATTTCGATGCTGAAATGGGAGCAGTAGTAGACTGTTGGTATGTCTTTCTCCACGGGAATCTCTAGAGAAGAGCGGGATGAGGGGTGAGTTTCTGTAGCATGCCAAGCCAAGCCGGATCCCACGACGTTACGTAAAAGGTAAAGTCGGAAAAAAGTCACAAGACGTGGTGATACTGCATGCAGGCGGCAAGATGAACAGGGATGTTAGAACGTTAGGAGATGAGTTGGAGGTATGCGGTGAGGAAGGGGAGTGGAGTACGTACCCCTGGCGCGGACTCTCGGGTTCCAGAAAAAGCGTGCTACCACTTCAAAAAAAAAAAAAAAAAAATAGATGGATGGATGGATGGATGGTAAGAGCCAACTTTTTTCATATGGAACAATGAGACGAGGTTTTACTTTTACTCCATCGTGATCGCGGTAAACCTCTTCTTCTTCGTGTCGTCTCGGAAGGCTTTATCATCAAAGTAAGTACTTATCAGTCAGATCCATAGAATCATGATGGTAGAAGAAGGCCCCGAAACTGAATCTGAATCGAATCCAGGGGCAGGGCAGGGCAGGGCAGGGCCGTCTAAGGTATATCGTCGGAGGAGGATTTACATGTCCACGTGTCCACGTGTATCTATCTGACGAGTGGCTCGATTGCGCGAAAGAAAGAAAGGCGTGGCGTGGCTCTCCTCGGCGCCAGGGAAAGCTTCAATTGGCTGGCTGGCTGGGGCTGTGGTATGGTAATCGGGATTCGGGATACGCCCTATTGGTTCACTCAGAAAAGGGTACGAGGTGGAATTTTGTGACGGCTGTAGCGGTTTCTTTTCTTCGCCATGGAGTCGAAGAAAATTTATGCTGGATAAAGCTATAGAGGCTTCTCTAGAAGAAGAGTAGGGGATGTGCTTCATCCACGCGCATGTAGAGAGAGATGTGTGTACTGGAGAGAGATCTAGTAGGAGAGCTTTCCAGGTTGTTCGAAGAAGAAGAAGAAGAAGAAGGACGGGCTAGGATCTTCACCTACCTACCTCTTATATTATATCAGGTAATAATAGATATAAGCGCGATATTTCCGTTCGGTCTCCGGCGAGGATGATAAGTAGGTCATTTGGCGCAGTTCCTCTCTAGCACTCTCTTGTGGGCGCCTACCCGTCGCGTCGCGTCGCTCCCCCTTTAGCTAATCTTATACCCGTCTTATCAATCCTTAGCCGGGCGATGATGTCCGAAGACCAAATCTCCGATGAGATGACAGGCCGATCTGAAAAGCTTGTTGATAATAAAGGCGATGGCGACGCAGCGAGCGTAGTAGTGTGGGAAGAAAGCTTTGTGCTGCTCGCGGTAGGATGAAGTTTGAAGAAGCTTCGCCGGGATGAGGGCTCGAGCTGTCAGATACCGTGGACGTTATGTATGTATGTATGTATGGTTTGTTTCGTTGGCGGGCACGCCTTCGAGCTGTACCCACCACGAGCCAAAAGGAAGGGGCAGGCGCGATGTGATGTGATGTGATAAGGTGAGGTAGGCTGCTGCAGAATCTGCATCTCCTGCCGGCTGGAAGTTGGAGCTAATCACCGACTAAAGAGCGACTAAGAACCGCACGGGACGGGGTGCAGTATGCTCGCACACGCATCACTGCCCCGCCCCGCGTATGCCGCCGCATACGCCAGAGCGATCGGAAATATCATATCGCAGACTGCGGCAGATCATCGCGCTAGCCGTACGCCACCCCGCGATGAGGGCGCGCCTTCCATCTACACGTTGCACCGAGGGATCTTTCCCCATTCGATTCGATACTACAGCCAGCCCACGAGAGCGAGCCGTTGGGACCTGCTGCTCCCGTCTCTACTGTGCTACTCTTCACAGCCTGGAACGGCCTCGGCATCTCGTCGATCAGCACCTGCCAATTTGGACCTCTTTTTCTCCCTCCGCTCACATCATGATCTGCACCTACCCTACAGGCTTCCTCGAACACCCACCAGCCTCGGCGCCTGGCACACCGTGACATAGAGCGCGACGACCTCTATATCTCCCGACCCTTCCTCGAGCCATTCTTCGCTTCGGTCGGTCCCCTCCACAACACCGCTATCATGAAGTTTCTGGCGACCACGGCCCTGTTGGCCAGCAATGTCGCGGCCTTCCCATACATGATAGACAAGCTCGTCGCTCCTCTCGCGGACAACGCGCGCTTCCAGAAGTACAAGCGCGAGCAGGCCGAGGAGCGCGCCGTCCACGGCACCGTCGAGGGTATCTAGGTCGAAGCCCGCGCCGCCGTCGCCTCTCCCCAGGGTGTCGGTGCCCTCCCCCTCGTCCCACCGCCATTCGACGCTGCCACGCAGTACGTCAGCAACCAGGGCCAATACGCCGTATGTATCGTCTCGTCTCCTCCGTTATTTATCTCGTAGCGTAGGTCAGGGCTAACATCTTCTTCTAGTTCGTCGCTCCAACTGCGTCCGACTCCCGCGGCGAGTGCCCCGGCCTGAACGCTATAGCCAACCACGGCTACCTCCCCCACAACGGCCACGCCTCTATCTAGCAATTCATCGACGCCACCGAACAGGTCTTCGGTATGGCCACCGACCTCGGTGGCTTCCTCGCCTACTACGGTGCTCTCGTGGACGGCGACGGAGCCGGCTGGGAGATTGGCGGCCTCCCCCACACCGGTATCGCGGGCTCGCACGGCAACTACGAGGCCGACAGCTCGCCGCTAAAATCCGACCTGAACTAGTACGGCTCTAACGAACGCCTTATTATGAGCCAGTTCTACGACCTCTACAACCGCTAGCCTAACGACAGCACCGCTAACTACAACCTCGAGGTCCTCCGCGCCTTCCGTAAGGACCGCTTCTACGAGTCTATCGCTAAGAACCCCGACTTTACCTACAACCCCTTCGCCGGCGTCCTCGTCTCCTAGGCCGCCTTTACCTTTATCTACCGCTTTATGTCTAACAAGTCCGCCGAGAACCCCGAGAGCGTCCTTAACCGCGACGTCCTTAAGAGCTTTATAGCTATCTCCGGCCCCGAGGACAACCTTAAATGGACCCCCGGCTACGAGAAGATCCCCGACAACTAGTATAAGCGCAACCCCTCCGACGAGTACTCTATCCCCTACTTCGAAACCGACGTTCTCTACTTCGCCGAGACCGTCCCCGAGGTCTTTAAGATCGGCTGTAACTAGGGCAAGGTTAACACGTACGACAAGATCGACCCGGCCGTCTTTACTAACGGCGCCTACACCCTCTCCTAGCTCGCCTAGAACCCCGTCTACTTCGGCTCCGAGATCGCTATTACGGAAGCTAGCCCCCTCTTCGGCGTCGACGTCTCTAAGGCCCCTTACTCTACTCTTATTAGCGAGATAAAGGCTCTTACTACTCCTCTTAACTACGCCGCTATTAGAAGCGTTAACTAGTCTGCTTTTACCCCCTACCCTAGTACTTCGCTCTACGGCGGTCCGACCGGCCCTATGGCTCCTAATACTATTTAGTCGTAAAAGCTTTTTTTTTTTTTGGAATGATTTTAACGGATAGATAGATAGATAGATAGATAGATAGATAGACGGATAAAGAAGAAATTATAAATTTTATTGTAGTATATTTACTTGCTTACGTTGTCTATATCTTTAGTATAAATTAACGGTCTAATAAAAAAAAAGCTACGTCTATTATATAACGCGGCATTTTTGTAGGTAAGTTCTAAGTCCAATTCCTAGAATTAGTAAGGGTACTATCTATATCGAGCCGTAAGTTAAATGTTCCGGTAATAAGTAAGGTAGTAGTAGTAGTAGTAGTAGTAGTAGTAGTAGTAGTAGTAGTAGTAGTAGTAGTAGTAGTAGTAGTAGTAGTAGTAGTAGTAGTAGTAGTAGTAGTAGTAGTAGTAGTAGTAGTACATTAGTATATCGGATGTACCCTAGCAGTCTTAGCGCTTAGCTTAGTCTTAGCCGTACTATCGTCGTATACCCTTATCGAAGAGAGAGAACTCCGTATTCGTATATCTTACGTTAGAGATATAAAAGAGACGACGCTTAAGGGGTACGCTATACTTATTATCTTTAGCGGTATTTAGAGATAAAGCTATATATAGAAAGGGAAGAAAAAATAAAGTATATTATTATTATAGAGAGAGGAGAAAATATAAGTAGTGTAACTTCTAAACTAAACTTAGTAATAATAAGTAGTAAAAAAGTCGCGTTATACCTTCTTACCTAGTACTACTCTATCCCTATATATATCTTAGAACTAACTAGAAAAAATCTCTTAGTAAGTAAGTAAGTAAGTAAGGTATACCTTAGCGGCTCTAACCTACCGCCGACCTACTTTATATATAAAGCTTCGCTATATACTTTTAATAGACCTGTATCTACTCTACTCTACTCTAGTATATACCCTCTTTAGTACCGCTACCCTTTTCCCTTTTAAGTTAAGACGGGAGTCTTCGTATGTAGGAGACAGGTTAGCTAATAATACCTTATACTACTATACTATGTAGTTAGCTACAGCTTAATACTAGCCTTTAGTTAGGTTAGGTGAGGTTGTGGTTGTGGTTGCTTCACTAGGCGATGGGAGAACGTCGTGGGAGGGGCTTGTACTACAGAGCAGAGGGATGGAAGGTAGCATGCGGCGAAGAGGGATGGGGTTCGGCGCTGCTTGATGTGTTCTTCTTATTGTGCATTTGCTAATGATGTGGTGATAGGGCAGATCTATGCTGAGCACTACCAGAGACAGAACTGCACATTTGACGGATCTATATTTCTGAAGACTTCCATGACTTCCGTAAAGCTGGACTGTTGGAATAATTGCTCGAACTTGTCCCACATGCTCCTCAGCCCAGGCTCGGGGGCGCCGGGCTTGACTTTTGGCAAGCACCATTGCGAGGTGGCCAAGGGGAAACTCGTTATAGCCCGTCCGCCTGTAGATCTCTCCGGCCTTTCTGACGAGCCATCCTGCTGTGTCCAAATCTTCGACGTGTCTGATCAAAGAGTGCGCAACAAAGGGCAATGCACAAGCAAGAAACGCGGTTTTGGTTTTTTGGGGGATCTTCGATTTCCAACACCAATCTCACCAAGTCAATCAGCCCGACCTTTTCCGCCCGGCTCCCACACACTGAAATGATCTTCATTTGCTCAAGGTACGCCGAGCAGAGCAGGTCTGCATGCATTTTGTATCCATGTTCCTGCCAGGCCCTCGAGACTTGGTCTTGCAGATCTCTTGCAAGTCTGTATGCAGTAACGAGACGACCAACTTCCGCATAAGCCTCCTGCAGACGGAAACTCAGGCTTAACAGCGTCGTATCCGGATACTCGTGGTGCTTGTCCCAATTCTCATAAAGTATCTCCAAGGGCCCTATCTTCATTTTTGCTGGGCAAGGCCAACGACGCACAATCTCTGATGCCGTCTGGACCGTGATCAGATGGTTTGGACCCAAGCTTTCCCTGGCTCGGGCAAAGAGAGTCCTCAGTTCTGCCACAGTATCATCACACAAGCGATGACCAATTCTCTTCATGACCCAAATAGACCGACTCTGAATTGTGACTTCGTCTCCGTCGCCGAGTACGTCAGAGCTCGGGTCAAGCGCTTGTTTAAGGAGAAGAAGCCCTTCTTGAAGACGAGAGTCCGAGGCGAGGACCCCTACTATGCCGAGGATGTGTATGCGAGCACGCACACTGTCTCTCGGAACAGTGTAGTGCAGGCTCAAGCGCATATGGGCCAGTAGTTGAGAAGTGATATCTGCGATGCAATAGGATCTCTCTCCAATGGCCATACGTCCAGATGCAAGTCCAAGATTAGCTGACTTGGCAGAAAGCAGACGAATGATGTGTCGCTCCTATCTTCTCGCCACTCCTGCTTTTCGCAGCCAAGCTTTCGTACAGACTTGCACAAGTCGATGCATAGTATAGCCTTGCTCCGCATCAAGCTGGGTGCAAAGTCCGTACTGTAGCAACGTCCCCATGGCTTCAACGCGATCGTTGTCTGGGGCATCGTTCCGCATTCTGAGTACCAGTATCTCCGGAATGCATTGGCGTTCAAGAAGAGCCATGCGCGCCAGCAATTGGGCAGCCAAGCGATGACTCTGGACGAGCTGGTCGTAGGTCATTCTCCATGTTGTGAGGACTGGGTTGGAAACTGTAGCATCTCGCCGCAAGTCGTTCCAGTCTTTGCCGAGCAACTCAACTTGCTGCTGCTCTTCTTGTTGAAATCGTTGGAGATAGTACTGCACGGAGACTTGGTTCCTATTGATATAAGCGGCGGCTTGTGTAAGAGCGAGTGGGATGTACTCCAGTGTGGAGACCAGTTGTTTTCCGTCAATATCCTCTGCGAAGGAAGGTACTTTCATCCTCATCAACTGAAGGGCCGTAGATTCCTCGAAGGGTCCGATACGCAGCACATCGTCGATATCGCCAGCAAGATCGGGTCCAGTGATGTTCCGTGAAGTGATCAGTACGGCTCCGTGCTCACTTTCCGGGATACTCTGCCGCAGGTTCAATCTGGCTTCCCCACCACCGTCGGCGACGAATAATTCATTGTCGTCGGCACTGTCAATCACGAGGAGCCAGCGACCTTTGTTGCGATCGCAGAGCCAGTTCTTCACCACCCTGAGATAATTCACATTGGCATCGTCATCCTTCACGATACCTGTCTGGATTGCGATGTTGCGATATGACTCGATAAATCGTTCCCGTGAGCCAGCATAGACCCAAAACACCCAGTCTTCTGGATGCTTTGCGTGATGTCTGTACGAGTATTGAATGGCAATCTGTGACTTGCTAAGACCAACATTAGTCTTCGAAGAGCTAGCAGGTACTCATTGAATACATACCCTACGCCGCCGAGACCAGTAAGCGCAACGCGATTGTGGTACCCATCAACGGAGAGGCACTCTTCAATGTTGTCGAGTACCTCCTCGCGACCAACAAAGTTTTTGTCTTTACGGAACGGCACTAACAAGACTGGAGCTCGTTTTGGCGTTGGCTCGGATACTGTACTCGATGTCAGAACTCTCACAGGTAGTCTGCCTTCGGGATCGACTCACTGTGTCGGTTGTAGATATTCCCAAGGTGTGCTCGCGCATTGTCTCCAACAGTGACGCTCCCAAACGTGTTCCCAGAGAGATTCATGTTCACGAATGCGAATCTCACACGTGTGCGGACAAGGGTAGTCTGCTCCAGTCTCGAGCCGCACATATGAGTTGAACATGTTTGCTGCTTCGCCGTGTCGCGTTCTCGTGCTTCTTGGAACCGACTCCAGCAACATCTGGAAAGTCCAGGCTCTACTTTGTACTGCACAAGGCAGACTTTGCCTGGTACCAGGCCGTCTTTGTTAGACTGATTTCATGCGACCCAGCCTTCTCAGCTTGAATGTCTTGCATCCACTTCGAACAAACATGTAGGACTGGATCGCTTTGTGGGGTGGCGCGATTTTCGACGGCGGCCAAAAATACCAGTATGGACGCAGCAGCCGGGACCCCTCGCGTGGACGGGTGATGACTCAAGAGAATGTGATGAACCGATCGTTGGAAGACCTGCTCGTGGTTTGTGCACGGCCAAAGCATTTATCCTGTCTCTTGTGATTCGGCGACCCACAAAGCAGTCGTCTTGTCTCTTGTGGTTCGGTGTTGCTAGCTCGAAGTCCCGGCAAAGAAGAAGTGTGCCATCAACGCGCTCAGAAGGAGTGCAAAGGATGAATGCGAGCGTCCGTTGCTGAGATTGATGGGCAAAATGAACAACAGATAGCTCTTGCCCTGTAGTATCGTCTGGAGACTGTCATGCTGCCTGCGTAGTGCGGAGGCATCAGTCTTCTCATCTTGAATGTCTTGAGTCCACTACTGTGGTGAACCAGATCATGCGCTCAAATGAGTGCAATGGATGAATGCGAGCGTCCGTTGCTGCCGTCAACGCGGATAATGGAGGGCACATAGCTCTTGCCCTATAGTACCGTCTGGAGATGGTCTTGCTGTCTGTGCAGCGCAGCGCAGATCTATGTACTGCTCGGCCTGTGGATGCACCCGGGCTGGTTGCGTACTGCAGTCTACACGCGTTCTGCGGAACGAAGAAGCTCGAAGATGGGTTGCTGCCAGCAATGAATAGCAGATAGCTTTCGTCCTGTAGTATCATCTGAAGATCGTCTTGCTGTCTGCGCAGTGTAGCGCAGATCCCTTCGCTGCCCGACGCGAGGGTGCCATTCGTTGGTATCCCATTCCAGACTAAACGATCGTTCATACGCGCCAAAAGCCGTGCGCTGCTCCTGCCAAATCCTCACAATGATGCTGAGAAGTGGAGATGATCGTTTCAGGAAGGCTCGGATACAGTACGGCTCCAGTAGATGTTGGCACAGTCCAGCAACGCGCGAGGCGCTCAACACCGGCGTAACTCGTTGAATTCAAGCCTGGGAAGAAATGGTGGACCAAGTCGGGCAACGACCTTGAAGCGTCTCAAGAGGCGAGTACCGGGCCCAACTGGTAGGTACTTTCCGGACCGGAATCCAGGTAGATGTTGTATGTCTGCCGTCAAGCTCATCGCGCAATCCATCCCGGACAGCTTGTAATGTGTACTAAGATACCGAAGCTGTCCAATCATAGTCGTTTCCGAAGTCCCCCCGACTTTCACACCTGGTGAGCATGCATCTGCATCTGTCACGCAATGGTGGACGCTCAGCACGTTCGCAGCTTACACTGGCATTATTACGCTCTACTCGTTGCGCCCCCGAGTGGGCGAGACCATGGATGAAGGCGAGGCAAGCTGGTTAGTGGTCAGCACGACCACGCAATGCTGTCGTCCAGAGGCGTTGGAGGGTTATCAAGCGAAGCACGACAGACGCATTGCGTGCTACTCCGAAATTGGTAACTACCGAGCATGCCAGAGTGATGTTCTACTACTGCGCCCGCTGCGAGATTTCGAGCTATGAGCAGGTCGTGTTGTCCAGAAAGTCACATCGCTGGTCGAGACATCGAGAGTTTTGAAGAGGGCGAGCTGCGGAGTCTTCTTCCGAGGCGAGTGACCATGACGAATTCGTTCGAGAAAAAGGCCCTCGGGTTCAAGACCGTCCAAGCGGAAACAGAAGTGTCGTCAAACGGCAGCACCCAGAAAGCCAAAGTTCCGTGGTACGCCTACATCTGGGATTACGAACCCAATCGATCCAAGGAAGAGCGTGCTTTCGTCCAGCGGCTCGACATCAGCGTGCTGGTCATTCTGTCGCTTGGATACTTCATCAAGAACCTGGACCAGACCAACATCTCCAATGCCTACGTCAGCGGGATGAAAGAGGACCTGAAGATGAATGGCGACCAGCTCAATTTGATCGACGTAGCGTGGACATGCGGGTATGTGGTCGGCCAGATCCCATCGCAGATAATCTTGACGAAGGTGCGACCGAGCGTCTGGATTCCGAGCTGTGAGTTGGTCTGGACGATCTTGACATTCTGCATTGCTGCGACCAAGACCTCGAATCAGGTCATCGCGATTCGATTCTTCGTCGGTCTGGTGGAATCCATCTTCTATCCAGCAGCGCACATGATACTCGGCTCGTGGTACAAGCCTTCCGAGTTGGCGAAGCGGGCATGCATCTTCCATGCCTCTTCCGCCATTGCCAGTATGTTCAGCGGCTATCTGCAAGCTGGTGTCTACAAGGGTCTGAATGGAGTGCAGGGACTGGCCGGCTGGCAGTGGCTTTTCGTGATGGACGGGATCATCAGTGCCCCAATAGCGCTCGCTGGTCTTTTCCTCATCCCGGACTTGCCAGAGAACTCCAAAGCATTCTATCTGCGGAAAGACCAGATTGTTTTGGCCCAACAACGCATGATAGACATCGGACGGGCGCCGAGATCTAGGCTGGGATGGTCGGCCTGGAAGCGCATCTTTGGAAGATGGCACGTGTACTTGCTGATAGTCTTGTACATCACCTTCATCAACACTGTAAGTGAAATGACGAACCCATCTCAGTATCCGCCGGTAGACTAAGAGGAAGCAGGGTCCATCAAGCAGCGTGAATCCATTTTCGCTCTGGCTGAAGGCTGAGGGGTACTCTGTGTCGCTCATCAACATCATCCCAACAACACAGTATGCAGTGCAAGCCGTCTCGACGGTATTATTTGCAGTGTTCAGCGACTACTGGCGCAACAGGCCAGCGATCATGTCCGTTTCAACATTCTGGGGCCTCGTCTGTGCCATTATACTCGCAATCTGGAATGTACCGAGCGGACTGAAGTGGTTTGCTTATGAGATGACGAGAGCGTCCGTTCCGTACGGGCCCATAGCCATGTCCTGGGCCAAGTGAGTTGTCAAGTATCCCTCATATTGCACATGTTGCTGACAGCTGCTGTAGTGAGATCTGCGGCGAGGATGCCGAGGAGCGGACGATTGTTCTGGGACTGATGAATGCGTTCGGATACGCTTTCAACGCATGGCTTCCGGTGTTGACATATCCCACTACCGATTCTCCTCGGTTTAGAAAGGGTTTTGTGTTCACGTCCATCGCTTTCCTCGCACAGTTCGCGATAACGTGGTTGGTGTGGTGGTTCCGAAGGCGCGAGTTGAGGCAGAAGCCAGCAGAAGCCATCCACCAGGACAACGCACACCAGGACACGGTAGATGAGCCATCAGCGACGGCTTGATGACTTCAGATGATGGCTTGGTGTTCTTGTATTAGGGGCACTTTGATAGGATGAGGCTCCAATTGATGGAAATGCTGATGTAGATGTTGATGGATAGAAGCAAGAACGAATTCGATTTGAAAACCCGGCTACGGGGCCAACGGGACCGGGTGACACGGGACCAGCCGGTCTTGGCGCCATCTCCTTTCCTTCGCAGTTTCCCTTCTTCCTCTTCCTCTTCTTCACACTTCACTCAAACATATCACCAATGAGTGCCAAATGGAAATATCTCGCGCCTCAATCTACGGCCGTGGAGTCCAAATACGCGGCGACTTCGTGAACAGTACGATGGTCATGTGGACAAAGTAGCCGGAGCCGACTCCGGCTGGTTCAGACCGGATATACCAGCATTCTTTGCATCTGGCATGCGGCAGACTAGCACCACGCCGCGATCGCATGTGTATCGGGTCTCTTTCAGCAAACGCTCCACGGCAAGGAGTCTGCACAGAAAGATAGTCAGAGGAAACCGTTGTACACAGCCTGGATATTCTCCAGAGACACTCAGCCGCAAACAGCATGCCATGACGATGACGTTGGTTTCCCTCTTTGCGTCTGTTCTAAATCCAATTCGGCATACTTGTGACTTTTTTGAGCGGAGGCAGTGAACAGGGCACTCATATTTGCCATTCCTTGATGGAGGGTGCACTCGGATCGACTTCTGGCCAATGTTGGCCTCACCATCCCGCTGCTGTAACGAAGCACATCGTCGACATCGGTGATGAGGTTGTTCTCAACTTACGAGAAGGGCGAATCGGCGTCCGTAGCTCTTCATTCGCGCCAGCGAAAGATCGGCTTCTAATGCTCATGCCACAGGAAGGAAGCAAGCGCTCTGGGCTGAGCGCAACGACATTCGGACGAGCCATCCACTAGCACCTCACACTCGCGCAATCGTCATGCTGTGGCTAGAATAGCACTCGCGAGGAAGGGCAAAATGGCTGGGTTGAACGTCACGGTAGTAATTCCGCATTTGGGACGTGTACGCGGCATGACGTGGTACAGGGTGGTAATCACAATTGCTCTCATACGCTGACGGGCTGTCAGGTGCTACTACTTATTTTTTTGAATTCTCCCTGCCGCCCACACGGCATCTGATACTTCTCCGAACGCTGGACGCCAGGACAACTTTTGCATCTGGATTCTCGCAACCATTCTCTCCGCGGTTGCCTTCGGCACAACTTGCTCTCCGCGTTGCATCATGAACACCGACCGTGCAACTCTTTCCCTCAAAGAATCGTCCTCCATTGCTTGCGTAGTGGTCCACGTCATTCTCGAGAGACTTCGTGGTATCGGTCTTCATCAAGCTCATATTCCCTTGTTGAAAGACCCTATCATTGAGACATTGAGACCATTGCCACTGACCAAATAGATAAACCCCTCATACTTCCCAGAACCAAGTCGGACGACTTTCGCGATCGCCTCTATGATCACCAAATCGTCGTCAATCTAAATCAGCTCTACGGTTCCAGCCGCTCCGGAGCTTTTGCCAATGAAGTCGGCGTAGGCGGTCCAGTTCTACAGGCGGACTCTCTCTCCTCCCGTTATTTCTAAGCTGGTATCCGCGCGGCTTGTCACGGACTCTGAGTACGTTGCAGTCGCTCCAGATCAGCATATGCGTCCAGCACAAGAATCTTCAGCAGCTCGGTGTCGACCTCTTGTAGCATCTCTGGAAACGCTCTGATGCTGTCCCACTTGCTCGCCATCTCTCTCACTGGCCACCACCTTCGGTCATTGCTCGAGAGCTGAGCATCGGACACCCTCCGGACGATCCGGTTTGAGCATGAAAGGATCTCGCTGAGCAGTTCTCTTGATGTGTAGTTGGCATTGTGGAGCCGAACATATCTAGGCTCGGTGTTTCTGGTATCCGACAGGAGCTCGCGAATGGTCCTGGGCATGTTGAAGGTGGCCTGATCCTCCGGTTTCACGTCGTCTTCGACACCCGGCAGCTCCGCCGACGGCAGTAGCCCACGCTTCTTCGAAAGCCTGCGATAAAAAAGCCGCTTCCGGAGATTGCTCATGCGATTCCGCCAGAGACCGCCGCCGGCCGGCTGGCTCACGGTCACTTATCAGATCCAAAACCCCAGATGCCTTCCTTCTCACTCAGACTCAGCGCCTCTCCGCTCTTTCGGGTAAGAAAAGTACGAACCGCACCGCCCAACAGAAAAGGAGAAATCAGGTCACTTTTTTTCCCGGACTGTCCGTGACAGCACGCTGCAGGCATGCATCAACGATGGAGAAAAATACATTTCTCGCAGCCAAGATGCGCCTAGCAAGGATTGCCGAGTGAAGATTCTGGAGCTCATCTGATAAGATTCGTTCCCCCCGCCGAAGGTGGGGTGGGAATGCTGGTGAGATGCGTCATGCTGCAGCAGGCCGGGAAGTGGGATGCTCTCTGCGACTTATTCTTGTCCTGCAGCTTTTTCTGTCAAAGAAACCCGAAAACGGGAGGCGAAACGTCGAAAAGGTGTTAACCAGGAAATGATCACTGTGTGATGATGAGCGTGTTTGCGTTCTTTTCGGATGCCCCGTGTTCCAGGTTCTTGGGGTGTTGAACAGGGGTGCGGTGTGGGAAGGAATTGACGGCACTGCACTATTTTCTTTAGGTCCCGCTACCGCTGCGAATCACGCCACGTAAGGTAAGGTAAGGTAGGGCTTCGGCAGCGGTCTGGCCGTTCCCGAATCCGTGTCTGGGCACTCCGAGATCTTGAAGCAACAGAAGCTGTGACTGAAGAGTCCTCCTCTCGCGCCGCCAAGACGCTGTGATCGGGCTCAGCATGCCTTCAGAAGAGAACTGGGCGTTCGCGGGCTTTGTCATGATGAAAGGGGTAGCCAACGTGCTCCAAGAAGCTCATCCCGGGTTCCGGTTCCGATTTCAAGCGAAGCAGCAACCGTAGCCGACTCAGACGAGCCATCAAACGCCAAGGTAATCAACTCACTAGGACGAACGAGTCTACGTCCCGGTACGAGCTATAATCACCTTTCCTAATCTACGTACGTGAGACTTTTTCTCTCGATCGGACAGCAAGAAAAATACATGTACCCAGCTAAAGAGTCTTTTGTCTGATAGAGACATCGCGCTGCGCAGTAGCGCTATTTCGGAGCTGAGAACCTTTTAATTGTTAGACGTGCGGGATAGCCATAGGCGTAGATCGAGGAAGCTGTTGGTGAGGGAAGGGGGAATGATAATCAAGGATACATGTGTGACTTCTTATCCTCTTGCTTTCTTTCCCTCGCAATGCATCGACCAGGTCGAAACGACGAACGAAGGGTCGCACAACACTGTTGCTCGTACATGCGCATCTGATCGGCAATGAGCACCTGTAGCAGTATCAAGACTTGTTGGTAAAATTAAATGCTAGCGCTCTTGTCGCAAATTCCGCTGAACGGAGAATCTTCTCCATCATCATACATGACTTCTCGCCTAGAGCCAACCCCATCCTCTTGCCTCACACAAAAAGAGCATCATCCCTCACAGCACACCATCCGCCCGAATACCCTGCCCAGCAAACCCCTGGAACAAATTCCGCGGATCCCATTTCCGCTTCACGGCCTGCAAATACGGCACATTAACCCCCCAATAAGCCCTCTGCGGCGCGGGGAGTTCCGGGTCCACGTAGCCCGGGTACGCAGCGTCGTCTACACCCGGGACGAGCTGCTGCATGAGAGCGTGGAGGCCGTTTGCGAAGGACTTGATGGCGGGATTGACGGAGGAGGAGAGAGCGAGGAGGTCGACGAGGTAGATTTGCATGTAGTAGAGGGCGTCGCGGTGGACGTAGGCGGAGTGCGAGGCGGGGAAGTCGTTGGTGCGGCCGGCTTCGAGGTCCCAGACTATGAACCTGTGACATGGAATCAGCATCGGTCGAAGAAGGAGGGGATGCGGTTATATACATACCAGGCCAGTGTGCCTTTATTAGTATTTTGGATGTACTCAAACATGGCTTCCACCGCAGCGGGACTCATGAGCGTTCTCGGCGTGAATTTGAGATTCTTGGCGTAGAAATGTGTCGGTAAGAGGCCGAAGATGTCCTGTATAGCATATACCAGATCATGTGTTACGGTTGTTACGATCTTACTGACGATCTGTAGGGATGGGTTTCCGAAGGGGAGGATGGCTTGGAGATTGAGCTGGTCGAAACCGGAGACATCGCCAGAGTACACTCCTTGGAAGATGATCGTGTCTTGGAGCAATGTGAGGGTGCAGCTGAATTCTCTGGGGAGATCTGGTTGGGCGATGAAATTTTGGTATTGGATGAAGAAGGGTGCCAGGTCGGTGACGGTGCCGAAGGTTATGTTGAATTGGAAGTGGGTGACTGGTATTGAAGGGATTGTCGAGAGGGTGAATTCGGTTACTAGGCAGAAGGATGCGGCTGCTCCACGGATGGCGAAGAAGAGATCTGGATTCTCGTAGGGTGAAGCGGTGGCGACTTGGCCGGAGGCCGTTACGCATTGCGATGAGAGGAGCTGGTCGGCACAGGTTCCCAATTGGCGGGAGAGGGGCCCAAGACCGCCGATTGTGCAGTGCCCGCCGGTCCCGATGTCGCCGACCTTGAGGCTCTGTTAGCATAGTCTGCAACACTATCCCAATGATACCTACGACACCAAAGGCTGCCGTCCTGCCAATAGAGGCAAGGTGGTCCGTCAGGTCACCTTCGCCCGGCGGCATTAGTAGCAGTTCAAAAGCGTCGGGCGCAATGCTCACGTAATCTCAGTCCAGCACCGAAAGTCACGCTTCCGTCCGCGTTCAGGCGGAACGAATTCAGGTTCTTGGTATCAATCACCAATGCTCCATCTCTTCCTCCGAGGCAGAAGTCCGCATAGCCGTGACCGCCGGTTCTGGGAGCGATGGCTACTCCAAACTGTAGTGCACATTGCACCACGGTAGCAGCTTGCTGCGCCGATGTTGGATAGGTGACGGCTGCGGGTTGGTAGCGGTAATCCAAGTTGTATGGATCTGAGAAGGTGTCAGCGGTGCGGATCCATATCAGGGCGGAATAGCTGCCGAACTTACGCACATCACTCAAGTCATACGTCAAATCGCTGACGACAGGCAGGTTGACTGCGCCCAGTATATCTGGGAATCCGTACAAGCTTGCATCGTTACTCAGTGCTGCTTTTATACACCGCTGGAAGGGGCCGCCAGGTGTCAAAATGCCCAGTAGATCGTTTGTGAGGCCGAGCGTGTCGTCAACAACACCTCCGAGGGTATTTCCAACGTGGTCCAAGAGAGGATTGAGAGGTTGGGTCACGCCTCCCAGCCCTGCTGCACTGCCAATCCCGCCTACCACATCTCCGAGGGTTCCGACGGTACCTGTGAGGAGATTTCCGAGAGACATGGCCGTTCTGTTTCCAGCGCGTGTAAGACCGTCGAGGCACTGTGTTGCGGGTCGTCGGTAGGAAAGATGAGAGAAGCACTCGCGGCGTGATCTTGTCCGCCATGTGCCGCAGCCTCATCGGCGACGAGTGCGTTCCAGAACGCGATGCAATATCGAGTTTGATGAGGGCACACACGACCCATGATGTTGTCATTTCGGACGCGGACGCACGTTCTGGGGGAAACTGTAGCCAACTCCATTGTTGTAGGGATACCAGGCCAGCAGCAAAGCATTTTGGAAAGAACCCTGCGCTTCCTCCGGGATCAAAGGCGGAAGAGAGGACAGAAGAGTAGACCACTGTAATAGTGAAGCACAGCTTAATGGTCCACTGTGCATATTCTTTCCACCTACAAAGTTTGGCGTTTCGCAGACTCATTCCAAGGGTTGGGACAGGTGTCAGATCCGATGGCAGATTGCTCCGCGCCCTGGCACCCCGGATCCGGATAGAGTAGGATAGTGGTGGTAGGCCGAGCTTAGCGCGGGATAGAAAAGCACCATCAGCTCTCACGAACGCCGCATGTGCACAGAGCGAGGACCAGGCACCACATCCGATGTGCATTTTACTTCTCCAGTGTGACCTCGTTCACGTTACTTCGTCCCATCATCCGATGTTCTATGCCCGCTTCGTCTGGCGAACCTTTTTGCCCGCCATCGCGCAGAAGCCCACTCGGAGACATCGAGGCGTGCGTCTACGTCTCTGTCATCATATAGTCTGGTGACGAGGGGTGGCTGAGCCGGAACAAGCCCGTAAGAGAAGGTGGTTTTGGATGGATGGGACGCGTGCGGAGAGAAGCAAAGGGACGAGGAAGAGTACCTACTGAAGATGGTCGTATTCGGATTCGCTTTCGTGATGGTCGGCCCGGTCCGGCCCGGCGCTGCGAGCCGAAGCGTTGTGATCCCCGCCTTGGCAGTCCTCCGTCCTCTTCCTCACCCGTCCTCCAACGACATCTCTCACATCTCTCACCAACATCCACCAGATCACGTCGTGTCGTCCATCGATCACATGTGACCCCTCTCCTCCTCTCTTCGAAGCCTTCATGGCCTGTTCACCGAACGCACGCTTCGATACCAGAACTCCTGAACGCCAGAACTCCTGCAGCATACCGATCAGGTCGACGTCAGCGGAGCCTCGATGCCGTGAATGGCTACTTCGCCCGGAAAGCACACACAAGAGCAGTGCGTCAGTGGCGGTCTGCGGCGGGAAACGCTGTATAGCCTGTGCTTCCGCTGCATCTTCTCTGTTGAAGGCACATACTCTCTCAGAGCCGGTGGTCTACTCGTCATGCCCGGGTCATGTTCCCTGGATCACGAATGCCGAGAAGCCATCTCAGATATAACTGTACTCCTTTCCCGGCCCCCGCAACTGATGTGGATCACTGTATCTCAGACATCGTGATGGAAAGCGTTCGAAGGTGACGACAAATCCAGATGCCGCCGACTCTGGCTTGCCCTAACACGAACTCATGCTCATTGTTGATTTCTACGATGGCAGTGAGTCGTTATGACATGGCAGCAAGCCGTCGTGATGATCAAGAAAGACCACGCCATATGACATTGCCAATCTTGAGTTTTGTTCAGCGCACTATTGGATTACTGTCCGATTTCGTTATTTAGCTTCATTGGAAACGTGGGTCCTGGGTCGGTCTCCTGTCCGCAGGAGCTTGGCCCTGAAGCTCCACAAGCTTGTAGTCGAAAAGCTGCCCAGTGCCTGAACTAGCCTGGGACATCTTTCACAACTCTTGGCCGATGACTGTTGTTCGAAATCCACGGCTTTCTAGGCGCACCGACTCCTGCGACAACACTTCATTCCCGCCGCATTTTGATATTGCGAGGATGGGTAATGGGTACGGCTACCCGGAATCCGCGCCAGCAGTACCGCGCATACAGCCAGCTCATCCCCTTTACCGTACCTCTGCTGACATGATAGGGTTTGCGATGACAGGCTGCAGGTCCCCCCCGTCAGAACAGGCAATCCTGGTCTCGTCGGATGAACCGCAATAATCGAGCTTCACTGGACAGCATTATTCGCTACCTCAACCATGACCAACATCACCTACCTACGCAACGGCGCGAGTTTGAATCTCCCAGTACCCGACTCCTGATCGATGCGTCTCATCAGACCTCCTGAGGTCTTGGGGCTCGTCGCATGTATGTACTGAGTGCGATGGCACGAGTCTGTCTTTGCAGACGAACTCGACCAGCACACTGACCGGCAACTTCGCCTTCGTTGGGTTTTCAGCGCACTTCTCTCAAGATGGTATCTGGCTGGGCGTCACCAGAAGCTACACTTGGCGTTTGTTGGTCCTTCACTTCCATTGCGCTTATCAGCGTCGGCCTACGCCTTTACACAAGGATCGCCATCATTCGACAGCCAGGATGGGATGATCTCGCAGTCACGATAGCCATGGCGTTTACTGTGGTGGACGCGGTGACGCAATGTTTCAAAATCCACTGGGGCCTCACGAGGAGCGTCAAAGAATTGACGGAGTACCAGTTCACACGGATGGAGAAGAGCCAATGGGTCGCGGCATGGAACTATTTCTTCGCCTTGGGCTTTGCGAAGCTGAGCATTGTACTTCAGTGTCTGCGCATAGTGAGTTCATGTGCGAGCATTCTGCTGGCGAAGAAGTCAACACTGACGGGTCGTACAGTTTGGACACATTCCAAGCTTCAAACGATGGGCCAGTATCTTATTCAGCGTGCTAGTTGTAAGTCCTTGAAAGATCCAATCCCTGAGAAACCTTCGATATATTGAACGTCTGTCCTGTTGCAGGTTTTTACGCTCTGGTCAGGCTTCCAGTCAATGTTTGTCTGCTGGCCGGTGGCGAAGTACTGGGACAAAACAATTCCAGGCAAATGCCTTCCAAGACTCCAAATCTGGTATCCTCATCAAACAACTCCGGTGGAGAGAGAAGCGCTGATGACTTGGGCGATAGGTTCTTCAACTCCGCGTTCAACATCGTGACCGACTTTGCAACTGCTGTCCTTCCAATCCCAGTCATCAGAGGGTCAGTCTATCCAGCAAGCCATCTTCACATCTGTTGAATTTAACAGATTCATTCTCCTCTAGCCTCCAAATGCCAAAACGAGAAAAACGGGCCCTCATGATCGTCCTCGCCCTCGGCGGTAGCGTCTGCATCGTGACCATCATCCGTCTCTACTCCCTCGTCGCCCTCGTCAACACGAAAGATCCCAGCCGCGACCTCACCCAAGGAGGAATCTACTCACTCGTCGAAGCGGCCTGCGCCATCTTCGTCTCCTGCCTCCCGACCCTCAAAGGCCTCCTGACCCGCTACTTCCCCGCCGTCTTCGCCTCCAAAGACGACTCCCGCGACCAAGTCCTCTCCACCCCGTCCATCGAACTCTCGGGCAGCGGGATCAAAAACCACACCACCGTCACCGTGCATTCCCAGGGAAGCATCGGACGGGATCGTGCTCCGGGATGGATTGCGAGGAAATTCGGGGGTCCGGCGGCGGCGGCGGCCGCCGCGGCGAGGATGGAAATGGACAATGAGAGTGGCGAGACGTGTTCTACCAATGTGGAACATAAGGGCATTCAGACGGATGGATATCATCATCATCATCATCATCATCATCACCATCACCTTCATGGGAATGGAAAGGATATCGAAGTCGTCACTACCGTTGAGCAGGTTGAACGGCGACGCGGGGAGGGGGAGCAGAGGAAAGGGAATGGGACTGGGAATGGGAATAGTGAGGAACATTTGGTTCCTCCGAGGCCTTATGAAAGGCCCTGATTGGACTGAGTTGCAAGGGGTATGGTATGGCAGCGTGAGGAAATGGCGGCGATCCGGATAACACCTTGTTGTTGACCCAGCGATGAAACTTCACATGGGATGGCTTGTATTTGTACGACCGGAGCGAAGCGAAGGAGCTTATTCTGAAACGCAGAAGGGAATTCTTGTTGTTTACTGAAGAATTTGTGCTTTGTAGATATGTGCTTAGCGTTCAATGCGTGTCCGTTTGCTTCTTTCTGATTGCGATATCTTGATGCTTGCAAACAGATGGTTCTCAATGTTGATTTCCATGCCAACGTCGGAGGGCTGGGTGGAGTGTTCAGTGCGTCTAGATCTTAACTCCTTTCTGTTGATGGGTTTCGATATTTGAGGCTCAGTTGGCCTTGAGCAACGTCTCTCATGGACACAATGCCATATTCATCGGCGTGTTTGAAGTCCCGAAGTTGACCCGGGGCGCTAAACGCTAGCGCTGAACCTTCTTGCAGCAGTGTAGTCCCCTCGGGGAACTTCATCCAGCTCCCGGAATTTCTTCCCAGAACTTCAGCTTTCCTATCCGTCGCTTACACAAGATCATGTTGCCTCACCTATTGGCCAGTGGTCGGATCGCTTGGCGCAAGTCCCGCGGCTTCTCCAAAACAATACTTCCGCCAAGCTATTAAACGCCGCGTTACGAGAATGACTTCCATTGTCTCGAATGGGACAGCGTCCTCCTTCTGCAGGGTAACAGCTATCAGCGACCTCGAGATATCGAGGCTCAGGCCCTTGGCGGTACGAGCAAGATGTGGAAGATGTTGCGAGACTGCTAAGGGAGGCCTGGAAATACGCTCCAGATGAGTCCCACCAGGAAATGGTACTGTCGTGGGACTATTTAGGCGAGAGAGAATTCGAGATAGGCAAGAATGGATATAATAAGGAGAGCGCCAGTGGTTCGCAGGGATTTTGACTAGACTAGGACGAGACAACGTTAAGTGCTCTTAGAGGATATCGTGTTGATGCATCCTCAATAGAGAGCCTGGCGTTCTTTACCCAATCTTCCCTACATCCTCCCAAGTCCTATCTCCCCTAGCTTAATAACTATGAACCGGGCATTGAGGTGCCTTGGACCCTGCAGGGAAATTATTGTTGCAGTGGGCGCTTCCACAACTATTCTCGCATTTTGGAAGGCCCTTGCATCCAACGACACAACCGCAGTAGCTCGAATCACAGCCATAATCTAGATAGAAGAGGTAAGTATTAGCGAGATAGACGCTACCGCAATTCTCTAGAATCGAAGAAGAGCTCACCGGCGGCTGCGAAGCTGATCAACCCGATAAGAGCCGTTATGTAACTGGTAAGGCGCATGGTTGTCGCTATGTTCCGGCGATAAGATCTAGGTCTGAGGAGTTGTAGATAGAAATTGATAGCCGGAGGTTGATCCGGAGACAGATGTCAAAAAAAAACGCTACCGCGAACCTTCGACTATTTATCCCGTAGTAAACTAAACGCTAGGCCGCAGCCTTGACGGGTGCCAAGTTGGACTCAAGACGTGGGAGGCTAGACTTAAGACGTAGGAAGTTGGACTCGAGATGTGCGAAGTTGGACTTGAAACGTGCGAAACCGGACTTGAGAGTTTAAGCCCGCCGCTTTGGCCTCAATCCCTGCTGCGGGCCATCTTGCTCGTCCATCCTCATTCGGGCCCATGAAAGTAACATACTACTCCATTGCTTGCGCGGATATGTGCTGTGTGAATCCAGCGTAGATACTACGGGCAAAGAGCTCCGTCTGATGCTTCTTCTTGGTGGTTCTAGGGCGACAGCAACTGATGGCATTGATAAAGCTGGTGAGGATCGTCTTCTTCTCACATTCGTGACCTTCGACGTTTGGCACCTCTGCCAGTGCGAGGTTGCGTAATCGACGCTTGACTTCTTCTACTGTCTCGTTTCCCCAGGTGTCCATCTTGTCGATTTGAGTTTTGGCCTCCTCTTCGCTGATGTCCGCGATCACCGCATACTCTTGAACCGGGTCAAAGCCCCCCCTGCATCTATGCTGCCAGCGCCGAAGAGCGGTGAGATACAGTCGATTGCATTTCAATGTTCTACCAAGCTCGAGATAGGATCTAGAATGCTTGGGATGGGATCCAAGTCCAATCAGAACCCACACGAGTGGCTTGGCCGTGAAGATCTGCGTAAGCTTTGAAGCGATGCGATCTTCACAGCCGTAACATCTTGCGAGCGAGAGAACGTCAGCCATACAGTACGCCACACAGACAAGCCGCGACACCATGATCGGATCGTCGTACAGTAGTGCGAAGGGCAGGCGAAACTGATCGCTTTCGAGGTCAAGATACCGGTAACGAGTAGGGTACCCGTCGAGGTTCATCTCCACTCCAAATTGGACGCCGATGGTGCTCCAGTCGCTGTATACGCCACTGTCCCTCGATTTCGGACGGTCTGTACGTGGCCAGTGGTGTGTATATGACTGTCCAAAGACCACCTATTACTGAGTTGATACATACATCCGGCTCCAGAAAGAATGTGCAATCTTTCTCCACCATTTCGTACTCGAATATGTTCTTCTTCTGCCCCGTCTTTGGATCCAAAATAACGCGCGGGCGAGCCGAGCCCCCGTGCAAGCCTCGCTTGTAGAGCGGCGACACAGTAACGAGAAGATCGCTTTACAGTACCATCGACTTGCGTGGGTCAGAGGAGAGGTGGATGACGACGTCGCCGTCCTCGAAGCGTGAATGTGGCAGATCGCGCTCCGTCGTCTCGAGCATGAACATCGCTACGGTGCTGTCGGGTGGTAATGGTGTGTTGCAATAGAGCAATGAGAAGTAGCGAGAAGGGTCGTGATGTTGAATAGATGTTGCAGATTAGCGCGCTGTCGGCTCATTCTCGGCAGATGATAGTTCACTGAGCAGAAGCGTTCGAATAGCTTGAGCATCGTCGAAACCACAACAAAGGAGAGAACCATGACCTCCCCGATGGCTGAACACGCGCCGGATCTTGAAGACGTGTTCGGGCCTCACCACAAGATTGTGATTACCTATCCTTCTTCACGACCTATGGAAACGGCCGAAATCAACGATTACCATAAGCCACACTTTTTCGAGCCAAAGGACATCGCCACGAGGCACAATCCAACCGAGCTCACAGACTACACCACTCTGACCCGTTATCGCCCGCACCTCTCCACCAGATTGGGCGCTCTCTACTCGCTCCACAAAGCAGCTGCAGACTCGCCCATACCCGACGAAAGTGAGCTTGAACATGAGCCACTTCTAGATCGCATCAACAGACTGTCATCCGTTCCCGGATGGACGAGCCTTCATGTCCTTACATACCTCACTCCTGAAGGCCGATCGAAGATGGCAGTGTACCGTCAGACCACCGTTGGAGACAATACGTTCACGCAACTGTACGCAGGAAGCTTCGCATTGGAAGACGCGGAGTGGCCGCAGCGCAGCAATCTGTACGACCTGATCTTCAGACGCTACGATCGAGCAGAGATTGCATTCCAATTGCAATTGCAACGAGAAGGATGGGAAAATTTTGATCCTGCCAGAGGAAAATGGAAGCCACTTCCTAGCCATCCAAGGTTTCATGTTGTGCTGTCCAGTCTCCCATCTGCTTCGACTGAAACTGGCGACTGTTGCCCTATCTGCAGCGGCGAATATGGCGAGGGCGAGCAAGCTCCAGTGGCACTGCCTTGTCATCATAGACATCTTGCTTGTCTTGGATGCCTCGATCAGTGGTGCCGCAACGGAGGTGATCCCAAGTGCCCACATTGCCGCACGCCAATTTTTGATCTGGAGCAACGAATCAATCTCCGCCTTGGTCAAGACTCGCATGGAAACTTCGTCCCTGACAGGACTCTTGCCGCCTCGGAGAACTTCGATCGTTCTTGTGCAGATCTTGATCAGTTTATGGCGCCGAATCAAGGTTCTCGCCCCTTGAAAGTCAATGTCTCCCACATGACAGCCATCCTCAACTACTTCCTGGGCAAAGAAAAGGAGATACCACAGGAATGCGTACCCAAACGATTCAATCCTGTCTACTCTCCAGAAACGAAGCTCTTGGCGGAGGTGCTCCATTCTCTGAGCGACAAGATAGATGGCGAGACGACCGACACCAAGATGTTCATCGACCTCTTTGCACGCGCCATGATACGCCGGACTCAACATGAGTACTATGCGTCCGGAACGCAGCCACGGGAAGATCAGCCCATTAATCCAGCGACGATACTTACGTTGCGGTCTGATTCAATGTATTTCACAGAGAAACTCATCACGAGAATCGTTTCCTTCGCCGCGATGCGGCAGCATGAAGGAGGCGAGGAGTTTCTGCATATGCATAAGGGAAAGATGTACTACAATCCGATGCTGAGTCCAGATTAGCTGGAGGGTTTGTATCTGATGTGTGCGCTCATGAAGTGAGGTGAAACAGTAGCGACGGGGAATCAATATCGACGAATGAGTGGAAGGGAGATTGCTTTCTATATATCCAAAGTTCGTCTTCAAACGCTCCTTGAAGTAGCATCATCCCTCCCTATGCAACGCACAGTTAGCAATCAAGAACAAAGCGACTGCCCGAACAAAGGGCGTAGATCATACAATATCATTGTTCCGTCTAGTGCTTGGTGATGTTGTTTTCAGCTGCGGATCAGTCTAGGGCCCTCAACGTCGCATTCATGGCCTCTACCATCGCCACGATACGCGCCACGGCATCCCACTGGCGGTCCAATAGTTTCATGCAGTTTCCTATCCCTCGACGAGCCAGACTATATCTATTCGTTGGCCCAGACTACGACCCAACAAGCAGAGATCATTCCGGACACGGAGGATCAGACTATAGGAGGTACTCTGGTTCCTCCATTACATTCCACTCAGAAGACTGAGCTCCATATGATCACGTACCTGAATCACACCTAGGACGGAAGATGGTCTCCATGCTCTAAACGACAAAACACGATTTCATGGACAAGGACAGTCAACCACGAATCACGGCTAATACGCTCGCGATACAATGAGTCTTCTAGGCGCCGGCAGCCCTAGCTTGTAACCCTCTTCATTGCACACTCGAAAGAATACGGTCTGAATAGTCTGGAGACAGTTCGCTTGACGGTGAAAGGAGTGAAGAGTGGAATGAGGAAGAAGCGCGCACAGATATCGGAATGCTGCAACCGAATCAGCTGATGATGGATGTGAGAGCTGTGTGTGTGGAGTGAGGGTCACTGTTTGGACACAGAGGGAATGAGGAGGTGGGAGTGCGGAAACAGCAACGAGAGCATGTGTCATGCCTCTTGAAAAAGTGCTTTGCTAAAATGACGGTGGATTAGAAATCCAGCCGCAGTGTCATAAACTCGTGGGAGAGGACATGCCTGCTGTATGAATTGAATGTAACTCCATTTTTGATCTTCCGTTATAGCCCGCGATCGGCAATTCCAATTTGTCCCCACATTACCGCTTCATCTCTTACTCTTTGTCTCTCGACGTCTCCCTGAGGTTTCACTGCTTACTCCTTGCTGCTAACCAAACCAGCAAGAATATTGGTAACTGTTGCGGTCGGCAGATTGGCCAAAAGCTTCGTGACGACGGAAGTGTCGACGCCCGGAACGAGGTTCTGGAAGTCGGTGAAGCCCGTCTGCGCCAAGAGCGCGTAAGCCATAGAAGCCGGCTGGTTGGAAACCTGGAGTGTCTGGAGCATCGCCGCGAACTGGACCGCATTCGCTGGTTCGAGAAGGCTGCCGAGTGGGATGGGACCAGCAGCAGCGGCAGCTTCGGTATCACGCTTCAGCGAGGGAAGACTGCCCGCGTTGCTCAGGAGGTAGGTAGTCGCGGCGAGGTCTGAAGGGGTGATGAACAAGATGGCGCTTTGCAGCGAGGGGAGGTTGCTGATGCTTGACAATGGGGCAAATGCGGAGTTCAGGCTGGCCAGAGTGTTCAGCACGGCCAGGACGGAGAGCAGCTTCGAAAGTAGGGCGGTGCCGGCGAGAGTTTGTTGGATGTCTGCGAGGGCGGCAGTCTTGATACCGGGGATGAAGGAGGCAAAGTTGGCTGGGATGGGGATGATTTGTTTCTAGTCGCGAGGATTAGTCTCTGCTCAAGCTCATAGCATCAAAAGTGCCCTCTTACGGTTTTCATGACGATTTGGGTAAGGCTGCTGAGTCCAGAAGTAGAGGAGCCGATTTTGCCAATGGGGTTAATCAGTGTACCCGCGGGAAGACCAGTGAGCGCGTCGCCTCCAACAGCCGGCGCAAGAAGATCCAGGGCAGAACTTCCGCTGTACGTGCTGCCGACAAGACTACCAACTGTGTCGAGGGAGGAGCCGGAGCTTACAAGATTTCCCAGCACATTAGCACCACCAGCGCCGCTCACAGCGCTGACAACACTGTTCACTGGAGATGAGGCGCCAAGCGCACCGGTAAGCGCCGTAGTAACAGCTTCCAGTTGGCGCTTTCCCTTGCCGATAGGAACAGAGATGTTTGGAGCAGTCAAGCCAGTAGGCAAGGCAGTTACAGAAGCCGCGGTCGGGAGTTTAGCTGCCGTGAGGGCATTGTAGATATCCGTGGGAAGGGCGGCTTTCGATGTAGCGGTACCAGCAGCGTTCTCCAGGGTTTGAAAGATGTCGGCGATCTTCGAAGCAAGCTCACCAAACTCGGACGGACCGATACCGTTGATGAGAGCAGCAGCACCGTTCAGCTGGGTCGGCACCACGGGGATGTTGGCTGAAGCGGGGAGAATGTTGGTGGGCGTCGGCACTGCTGGTAGGCCAGACGTGGGCAATTCAGCCATTGCACTGGAAGCGATGGGCGCCACAGCAGCATTCTCTGTAAGCGCAGCGAGCGACGAGAGGACGCCGGTATTGGCAACTGGCAATGTAGTCTGAATGATCTTGGTAATTGAGCCAGTTGGCAAGCTGGATACCAAGATGGCTGGCACATTCGCACTGTCCGTAGGAAGGATACCCGCAGCGTTGGCAACATTGGTCAGTCCTGCTGTTGGCACAGACGCGGCAACATTGGGAAGGCTCGGAACGGCAACGGCAGAATTAGCAACAGGCAAGCTGCTGATGTGGCTGACAGGCAAGCTGCTGATGAGGCTAATAGGGGAGCTGCTGATGGGGCTACCGGCGGCAGCACTAATCGAAGATGTGACCGGGAGCACAACTTGACCACTGAGAGGAGTCTGGAAGATCGATACGCTCGACAGTCCGTGAGTAGATGGGACCGGAATTGTAGCGGGACCCGAAACAGTAGCAGCAGCTGGTGCAATTTTGATCAGCTCGATTGGCGGCTCAACGGACATGCTTCAAGCTCACCTGAAGCGCCAGCATTGGCACCAAGATTGATACCAAGGAGCTGTGGAGCAGCGTGGGCAATGCCAGCCAGGGCTGCAATTGGCAGAATCATTTCGGCCATGTTGTTGGTAATGATCGTAGGCTGCTACGAATAAGTGATGCTGGTTCAAATGGATGCTGAGCGTTGAGGTCTTGTCTCCTTTCAAAAAGGCCTGAAGAACCAATCGCTCAAACATATATATCCTGATTCCTGACGACATTTGGTTCGCACGCCTTGGAATTTGCAGCATTCCTCTCTTCATTTCAATCGGCGCGCCAACCTGCAACACTCTGTAACCCGGAAACCGCCACAGGTGCAGCCATATCGGGATCCAACTTGCTGCTCAAAGAGTCTTGCGTTCGTGATTATGATGACAGAAGCATGTTGAGGCGCCGGCAGCGCGGTGCGGGAAGGATTGCGGAGTGCATGAGTAGGAAATTCCCTTGCTTCGAAAGTGAATCCCTGCAATCCACGGCATGCCGAGCTCGTTCGCCGGCTCACGAACCTCAAATTGCTGTCCCGAGTGTGTGTTTCGAGTGCTGATAGAGTATACCGTTCCGCATTGGTCTGCTGGTAATTTCCTGGGCGTTCTGCTCGGTGATCCCCGCGCCCGGATACGATGTCGTATCATACCTGCAGAAAACGTGATTCTCTTGACTAATGGTGGAATTTGGGCATGGCGTGTTGGGTGTAGTATCCAATATGCATGCATGTCATACCATGTAATCGAGAAGAGGTCCAGGAAACCGGTACATACACGGCATATCCTGCCTCCAGGAAGCACAAGCTTGCATACCAATGATACGTCGGAGGTCCGCAAGAAGATTCAAAACTTCAAGTCAGCACTGTCTTGATCAAATCAAAAAGTGGTCAGGCTGCTTCCGGCTCGCAGCCCGATGATCCTTCCAATTGAGGATCGTGCGCACCCGTGAAGTACGGTCGTGTTCGGAGTTGGTACTGCGTCCAACAGCCTTTCGAAGGCCAGGCTGTCGGTCAGGACTGCAAATAACTCCGCTTCTTAATCCAATCGATTCACTGGTTCCGCTTGAAAAGCTCGGTCCTGTAACGTTGAGATATCCGCCGAGATACGGAGGCGAGACTCTGCGGCTGGTCGCCCTGAACTGACGTGAGACGGCAGAGTGTATCGAAATCGTTAAACGGGAGTCTTCATAGACCAAGTCTCAAGAGCAGACTTGAGCTCTACCGCCGAACCAGGGACGGAGGGCAAGTTGACAACGATCGAAGGGCATCGACTCTCGTTCGCTACGGTGCGCTCGGAGGACGTGTAGGTAGCAAAGCAAAGTTTGATATCCTGCGATATTCTGCCTGACGAGGAGTCGATGATTGATCTGAAGGTAGTGCCGCGAGTGCAATCGAGCGTGGTCGAGGGAGACTGCCTCCGCAGTGTTCGCGCTTTATGACTCCCTTTTTCTTCCACTCACTCAGGTTATCTATGTTTGATTAGCTTTTGTAGGATGGTGGAAATGAAGCTCGCTGCAGGGCATGAAGTATATGGGACGAAAGATCAAGATTCACCTCCACGGATTTGCCTCGGGCTGGTGCGCCGCTAGCGCAGGCTATCCTTACCCGACTCCGGGTTCCGAGTTTCTTCTCTCTACCTTCAACCACACCTTCTTGCTCGTATCACTAACAACATTGAAGACACAAGTTTCCGCCTCTTCAAGTGCGCTCGCCGAGCCTACGACGAAGCGACTATAGCGAAAGGGCAGCAGCGCAGCCAGTGCGCAGTCCAGTTCGACCTCGAAGTGCGACATCTTAGCGGCTCCGTAAATCCCAATGCAGAGTAAGGACAAGCTTAGAACATGCGTGGAGAAGCTCGCCAAAACCACGAGGAGGAAGAAGAACCTAGAAGGAGAGCGGAAGCTCAACCGGTTTGCGGCATCCCTCCATTTGGTCAATACTTTAGCAACACCGAAGCCCGCATGCTGAATGACTATCACGACGAATACAGCATTTTAAAGCAGCTTGCGGATCGAATCTCGCCTGAAGGGGTCAAGGAGAGCCGGGGAAACCAAGCCTGGCTAAGAAAGAAGAGGGAACGGCCCCGGAAATATACCAAAACGATTGAGATCCACGACTACACGGGACGCAAGCCTGCCTGCGCCTTGCCCAATGGTACACGTTGCTTGAGCGGCATACCAAAACCACCGTCGTCTGTACAGTGAGCGCAAGTCGGTCTCCAAGTATCGATCTACGTTATCCTTTCTGGACCTTCCAAAGCCTGTAATCGGACACGAAGCATCTTACCGGATTCATGGATCTATCACCTAAGCCACGAAATCGGATCTACGAGTGATAATGGAAGATCGAGGAGCCACTGGATCTTCTCCTGTTCTCTTTTACAAGAACACCATCGGTCCAGTCGTCGGGCAGTTCCAGCGCAAGGCCGACGACCTGATCGGAAGTATTGCGGCATGCCACGGAACGTCCTCCCATTCCTACGCTTAGGCAGAAACATTAACATCGAGGCTAATGGGTTGATCATGCTCAGTGAGTCGCGTTTAAGTGGACCAAGAGGTTTGGCAATACTTGGCACGATCGGGGACGCCAACATGGTGCGTGCTCACACCTAGCGGCTAATATGCACCGGCCACGAGACAACAACGGTCGCGGCACCCACTACGACGAGATCTAGCATTGCGCGTGTCTGAGAGACAAATATGCAGCCCAGTTTAGCGACTGGATTTTGAAAGAAGTCAAAGGCTGCGAGACGGCGTTCGAAGACTATCGCCATTCCATTCCACTTCTAAACGGAGCCAAAAGTCTCGATTGACCCGAACTCTTCCTCTCGCTGGCTTGCGACGTCATCAACGTCGTTCCACTCGACTTCGACGCCAGCAAGTCCTGAGAGGGCCTGGTTCTCAACGCGGAGCTTTACCATGGCGCCACCAGCCAACATTCGCACGAGCACCGCTGCACCAGCGTCTTCGGCAACTCCACCTCGACTCAATAAATAGGAAGAGTAGCAAGAACTACGTCGGTAAGATCACAACCTATCGTAGGGCGGCCATATTTGCCGAAAGCCAAGGACAGGAGCATGAAATCATCGAGATAGACGACGTGGGGCGTTATCAGTGCGACAAGCACTATCAGGTTGCTACGCGGCTCACTCAGAGAAGCGGTGCACCCAAGGGGCGAGGATCAAATGCTAGGCGAACAGGTGCCTACAGATCTTGTAACATCCAGGCAGGCATATTGAGCCAAGCCAACCAAGCGTAATGGGCCGATAAGATTCAACACTGGCCTGCTGGAGTAGTGGAGCACACAGGCGACATACTGCAAATTTGCTCTCCTTCCTCTATACTCGGAGCAGCTCTTCGACCCCGATATCAATTGCTCAAGATGAGAAGCACGCCGTGGATGTGCTTGGCATGTAACTCGAGGAGTGAGAATGGAGTCGATTACAGATGCTGCATCGTATACATACCTCATGATTTCTGGAATCATTGTTCGAGATCAGTGAAGGCGCGACAGCAAGGATCTTTGGAATTGGTATAGTTGTGGTACTCTTGATTGAAGGTACATCTCTTTCCACTGCACTTTCTTCGTACTGAGCCGAAACATTAGGTACGGCGCCTTCTGATTTCGTCTGCGTGATTTCAGCTTAATTGAAGTTACCATCGTCGCGTACTCAATGTGGGATAAACACTTAGAACAAAATCTCGTTCACGTCTGGCATGCCCATTGCTAGCTTTTTGTATGCTATGCGGCCCCGGGAGTTATGGCGACGTCAACCTTCCTCAACAAAGAAAGATACTGTAGGTGATTGCATTTGACATTGACTTGCTGCTTGCATCCAATCTCACTACAAGCCGCTGCTCTAGTTTCTCTACTCCGCGGGGCACTAACGGCCCTTAAAGCTGCCATCTCTTTAGATCGACAGCGTAGAACGAACACATGGCTGTGCCCACGTCTATCTCGACAGGAAAGTGGCTTCCGTCCGTATAGGAGGCTCGGAAGACAGAGCACAGCAATTTCATGACCACATCGCCCTTCAAAATCAGAGCAAAGCGCTCCAAAACTCGACCTGTCAACCAAACAATCTTCGACTCCGGTCTTTCAGCAACAAATGCTCACATAGCATCATGCTGTCCCAGCTCCTTATCGCGCTATTGTTCAATCGCCGCGACTTCCGCATCCGAGCTCTTTACAAGAACGCCTTGCTGTAGATCTTCCGATCCTCCGGTTTCAAATACGGCCAGGAAGCTTTGATAGCGCGCTTGAACCCCTGTGAATACTTCTCTTCGGGCACTTGCTCTTCCTCTTCAATGTCGTCGACCATGCTGCGGTTATCGCTGTGCCAGACATCCCCATCGTCGTCGACGGAAGCGTAAGACGCCTTGCGAGCCAGCGACGGGCGAACGTACTCGATCGTGGACGATTGGCGGGTGAGTGGCGTCATGTTCTTTGGTGGAGCTGGACGATAGATTCCTTCCCCGACAGCGCGTGCGAATGGCAATTCTGGTGTGACGAAAAGTGGAGCGGAAGGCATTGGTCCGCGGGCGAGGTAATCTTCCTTGCCGTAGTAGCCTTGTGTCATCTCTGGACCTGGGGAAACGGAGGAGGCGTCCGATGCGGCAGGAGATGTGATGCGGTCCATCATTTTGTGGAGAGCAGGTGAGAGCGTGCGCTTGCTGGGACGGATGGGCTCTGGTGCGGCGAGTGGGAATACTGGCGAAGCCTCCAGTGCTGGCGATGGTAGAGTGAGATCCGACATGGCAGTCGAGTCGGCGGGCGAAGACGTGTCTGAGATGGTGACTACGCCGACTGGTCGAGGTCGAGGGATGCCGCTGGCCGTTGCAATGGAGGCGAAGAGCTTGCGTCCAATGCCGAGCAGCGTAGATGGACGAGCAGGTTCCACTTCGATGTTCACAGAGTGGGAGCCAGCGCGAGCGCGTGATGACACGGTCGACTGTGCGTAGTGATGAGTCGCAGCCTCTGGATAGGGGCCCGTAGACTTGTAAGCCGCGGGCACCGGAATGAGGCTCGATTGGCGGCCGTGCCCTTCTATCTTGCTATCGTTGATAGAGCCACGAAATCGGAGACGTTCGCTCTCGAGGAACGCATTTCGGGTCTCGAGCTCCGAGTTCCGCATTCTCACATTCAAGACCTCAAGACGCTTGGCTTCGAGATTGTTTTGTGTGGAGCGAAGTTGGTCTTGCTGCTTATCATTTAGCTTGGTCAGGCGGACGATCTCGTCGCCCAGATCGCGCTTCGTCTTCTTGTGGTCGAGCTTCGAGGTATCGTACTTCCGCTGGATGTGGTTGTGCTCTTGGATGAGTGCCTCGTGCTGGCGCGATAGTCGATCGGCTGTGCAGTCATTCAATATTAGCTGACGAGAATTGGACAATGAATCTCCAATCATGACTTACCTTGAGCCTTCGCATTCCGGACCTGTCGCTTCAAGTCTTCAATCTCGCCAGGCTTGATGCTCTTCTCGAATTCAGTTGGAGACTTGTAGTAAGCCCGCTCCATATCCATCAGGACACGATCGGGATGTTGCGGATCTTGTGCGAGCTCCTGTGCTTTCTGTGGGCTGCGGCGGATATGTCGCTCCCGCTTCTCTATGGCACCGACGCGCTGCTCGACGGTGGCCTCGCGGGCTACGTCGTTCGTGGTTGCTTGGAGTGCTTGAGTGTGCTTCTCACTCTGCGCGCTGGTAGCTGCTGGGGTCAAGCCTTCCGGTGTCTCCATGTTCTAGGGGTGCTTCTGAGATTCTCAGTAGGCCAAAACGTGGTGCGCGGTAATATCGATCCTCGTTTTGGTTCTCGGGAGGGTGCTACTCAGATAAGAGTGTTTCGAGTAAGTGTGTCGTTTCCAGTCGTGTAGATCCCATGCGCGAGTTTTGGGAGAGATAGGAAGCCGTGATAGACGAGCCAAGATGCGCTAAGAAAGCTTAACTTGCGAAGTTGCGAGTGAATCTTACTCTACACTCGCGCCTGTATAGTCACTTTCAGTTGGTAATAAGGATCGAGGTGCAGCAATTCACTCTCTATATAAGCTCCTTAGAACGACTTCTCCAACTTCCACCCGGCGCAGTAGGAGCGACATCTCGATATATCGATGTTGACGGGAAGTCCATGATGGCGCGGGAGCGCTGACAGCTCGTCCTTACTCTGCTCATACTATCCTATCGTTGCTATGGTCCCTAAGACCGCCAATCAGCCTAGCACTACTCTTTACGTCTCGGGGTACTCCAGGCCTAATCGCTGCTTCGCAAAACTACTATCCAGCGACTCAATCATTCGATCTTGCCCACAACTGCGTTGGCGCCAGAGAACCACGTAAATTTCCCGCGTAGCAGGTGCTCACCAAACGAGCAAGCTTCTTCGGCTTTGACGTTCCGTGTACCGCTATCACTGCAGACGCAGTAATTCTTGATGCTCCGAGATGTCTTGGGCCTTCTAGAGAGACTCTGGACACGCAAAGATGCTCACGCTCTCTAAACTTCTTCGAAGGCTTCGATTGACGTGCATGCAGCTTGCAGGAGTCAAGCTTCCAGCGGCATGCGCTTTCGTGGTTTAAGTGAAGGCGAGAGTGGCTGAACAGAGAAAGACAATTGATGGCGGCGGGCTTAGCCTCAGATGCCGGTATGGAGATCTCATTGAGGACAAGGCCATTGCATAGGTTTGTCGCTTGACCCTCTCTTTCGCGTGAGCTACTTGCGTTCTCAGATGTCATTGCTTCGATTTTCAGCTTTCATTCTCTCGAGCTGCACCAGAGCTAACTTTCAGTCAAACTCAGTAATTGGCCTCGCTAATGTGGACGGAGCCTAGTACTCGCTTGTTCAAGTGATGATATGAGCTAGATAGCCAGGGGCTCCTCGCTGCTGCGTATCGCTTAAGCAAACTAGCTCTAGTGCCGTCCCGCATGTCTGGTCTGCCCTCGAGGATTAAGCAGGCTTTGCGCGATGTGCAAGCCAAACCGTGGAAGGAGTGCCACTAGTCGGATCATCATCTCTGAGCAGGCGTATTTAGACAACTGGAGATGGCACAGCAATAGCGTAGCCCTTTCGGTACGGTGAAAGCGCGAACGTGATCAATGGCCGCTGTCCGAGGTTGTACGACGAAAGACTCCTCGCTCTTTTCATTCCACACCCTCCCTCGCCGCGCGCTCTGGATGACTGCGTCAAAGCTTGCTCGCAACGCTTCAACTCCGGCGTAGCTACTATTGAGCTTGTCCTGTAGTCGCATTGTATATCCACCTCAGTTGAGCCAGTGAAAGTGGTCTGACTGTCGGCTTGTTTCTTAATATCCCATCCTGCCTCCTACTTCTCAGTCTACTGAGGCTCGTTCGTGTCAGAACAGGCCTCGCCGCGTGGATTTGAACGGTATTATCGTGATTGCAGCGGACTTGTTTGGAGTGTTGGGCGGTCGTGTGTACGAGGCGTGTGATCCAAGGGCTGGTCGAGGCAACAGCTTCGCTCAGATGCGTCGGTATAGTCGCATTTGAGAAGGGTCCTTTGCTCGTCATAAAGGATCTTGTTTCGATAAGACTCGCGCTAGTCCTCTTCTCCAATATGATAAGACTTTGTGTCTCTTCTCACTCTGCTGAAACTCCACACTCGCTGGCGGTGGGCTCCTGAAGATTAGCATTAATCTCATGGAAAGGAAGGGTACCTGTATGTCCGTAAACTATCGCTTGCCCAGGGCCCTCTCGCCACAGCTCGCTCAAGCCTCGGGTTTGTACTGCGGCGATGAGAGGCGAGGCAGCTTGAATTGATACTCTTTCTCACCGTGAGACTCGCGTAGAAGCTCATGGTCAGTTCAACTCTCTAGGGGAAAACATCAGCAGCAGAAGGATGGCGCATCAGATCGGCCGTACACCGCTAGATTAAAGGACGTGGGCCTTCGTATACATGCGCATAGGGCATGGTAGAAGCTCTTTCAGTCAAGTTCCAGCCTCTTGTTACCCCTGTCGGAACTATCTCTCTTGAGGTAGTCGTCTTGATCGTTTGTACCCTGGACGTGTGTCGGCCTCCGCGCTTGCAGTACGCGTGACGCACAACTTGCAAGTCGATATCCACCTTTCCAGCCATTCATCATCTGCATATCCCTCGCCAATAAGCATGTAGCTCACCTGGACGTGTAAGAGTAGAATTTCTTGCTTCGCGGTTCGGGATGCATGGTTGGACAGCCGACTAGTTGGCGCTCCACACGAACCTCCAAATCAGTGGTGAATAGGTAAGGGAAGGCGCGGTTCAAGACATTCTGGGGCACCTCCTTGTGTAGGTCGATTAGAAGGATCAGGGCCACCAGCGTACCGTCCTCGGGGTTAGTACACAAGGGAGGTGCCAGCTGCGGCCGTGGATGGCAACGTAGTCACGATACTTGTCCGTGTCACGTCTCCGGCCCGCGACAGACTTGGAGGGATCCGGCTTGACGTAGGCGTAGTAGCGACTGGGGATGTGCAGATCGACGTATCGCGTGTGGAACTGATGGAAAAGTCTCTTATCGACCTTCTCGAGCTTGGGCGATGTCAGGAATCCGGCAACCAGTCCAAGATGCTGGTATTCAAGGGCGTCGTCGCTGTGGATATCCTCCTCCTCCGCGTGTAGTGCAGTCTCATCCTACTCGGCGTGCCGTGCGGCTTCCTCTTCTCCGGCGTGTAGTGCAGCTTCCTCCACCTTGTCCTCCTTGGTGCGCTGTGTACGCAAGGCACTTGCTCCTGTTGTTTGTAGAGCATCGCAGCCTGGAAGTCGCTTGTGCCGATCACCTGTGTCATGCGGTAGATATGGACTCTGTGATCCCGGATCCGGCTGAGGATGAGGTCTTGCAAGGAGAAGAATGATACAGTGAGGTTGCCGCCGGCTGCGACGCACGGGATGAGGTCGGAGAGTGCGAGATGACTTACAGAAGAGCGACATAAGAAGATTGTCGTTGTGGTGAAGGAGATCTGTCTGCGGCGTGGTGCCCAGCCAGAAGGAGGAAGGAAACAGACCTCCGCGGAAGCAAACGCGACTTCCACCTGAGCGCCTCAGCGCGTCAACGACAACATCACGACGGAGACAAAATGGATGTTGAATGCAGAGAACACGGTCGGGATCACTCGAACCGTCATAAAAAAATTGGATATCGTTCCTATCCATGGTTGCAATACATCTCCCCTACAGCTAATGTACCCATACCCAATGGGTACCAACCTACAAGAATTCTCGAAAAAAAAAGATAGGCCTCGTGTGGGTTGGACCGCTGAGCGTTCCGAGGCAACCACAATTTCAACCCCCATGTTCCCACTCCAGGCTTGTTGCCTACTGCTGCTGCTGCTGCTGCTGCTGCCCGCCACTGCCGCTGCCATGGCCGAGATGTTTGAACAGAAGGAAAAGTTGTACTCACTATACTTCAATTGTACCGGTAGGCCACAGGGCACAGTAAACTGTGTTGGTGCTTCGGGGCACGTGGCTTGATATTGGAGGAACCGCCAGTAAATTCCCCCATATACGTTCACGGATGCTTCCGCCACTAGGGGGACTTCACTTACTGCTTGGCGAGGACGGCGGGGAGAAACAAAGGCGCAGACGGAGCGCTGACAGGCTGCGAAGGAATCCATTCGAATATCATGTAACAACTGAGGCGAAACAATTCGCAGAACGATCATTGTATTCTTCGTTTTGGAGGGCGCAGTATATCTGCCAGGCAGATGTCCGAATCATGTAGCTGTGCCTTGGCCAAGGTCACGTTCTTCCACCAACAATCAGGCAACGGCGAGGTAGTAGTAGTAATACAATAGTAGGTCACATTCAATGTCAGGTTACTGTTCAGGATATGTACAGATCACGGCGTGTAGCCCTCGTACCTCACCGCGAGTGACCGCAACTTGCCATCTTCGAAGCTTCTGCCTGGGCAACGCAAGCGCCATAGCGGTCGACCATTTCAGATATCCATCTACAAGATGCATAACAACATGTTATGTTACTGTTCGAAAGAAACAGTAGTCCCCCTCACAGTAGTCCCCCTGGAGGAGGGCAGGAACTGGAAGGTCGGGGAATTGCACGTGAAACTGTATAGAAACAAAGCTGTCGTTTTCTGCAAAACGTGATTTTGAACACCACGAGGACTGTATCCATCTCACCAGCGCTACACTACCCAGGAATCGTGCCATTGCCCCCCCTACTCTAAACTGCTGCACGCGTATATCCCGCAGACCGCAACAGTGTAGACGCCTTAGGAAAGCTGCTCACCTTTCTCGGCCCCAGAGCCATCTCCCGCCTCATTCGCCATCATATCGTCCTCCTTGCTGTTCTCATCTCTGACGAGGTCCTCCTCAGTCGCCACTGGCTTCGCAGTCACGGCCTCGTACTTGTAAACGATCGTGCGCACGTCGTAGAGATTGAGCTCGCGAACGCGGCAGCGGTCCAACAGCTCCTCGAGGTTAGCGATGTCGACGTTGTGAACGCTCGACAGGTGGATCTGAAAGAAGACAAGTCCGCGAATCGCTGGCTCGCCGGGAGCTGGCGCGTTGCCCTTGCAGATGGGGCATTGCACCTCGACCCACTGCCGAGTAAGAGACATGACGACGAAGGAGCATTCTGGGAGAGAAGAGTAGTCCTTCGCTGCCCGACGTCGACGCTCCATCTCGTCGAGCTCTGCCTGCACGTCGTCCAGCGCTGAGTCGTCGTCTGGCATCGAAGATGCGCCTTCCTCCACACTCTCTTTATCGTCCACTTGGCGACGCTTCGTTCGCCTACCAAGGCTTGTCCTGCTCCTCTTCCGCTTGATCGCCCCGGCTTTCTTCTCCTTTGCTTTCGGCTCGCCCTTCTCGTTCTCGCTCAGAGCGTTCCATAGCTCTTGAACTCTGATCTTGTACTTCGTGGTAAGGTAACGGTCGACGAGCTCGGCCCACTGGTCCTGTTGGTCGTCGTCTCCGTCAATGCCGCTATTCAGCTCGGTCTGGAAAACCTAGAGACTCGTTAGATAGGTCTTATAACGCGTTCGTGTTTAAGCATACCTCGAGTCGAACAGAGATCTCCCGACGATCCTTCTCGGCTAGTTCCTCGATCTTGTCCTCGAAACCGGGGTTCTTCTTGACCAACCGCCTCACCGTCTCGTCGAGGCGCATTCTCAGCTCCTTAAGGTCTTTGATCTCCGTCTGCAACGGCCGGATGATCTCTTCGTAGTCCAGATTCTCGCCCTCGCGCAACTCCGCAAACTCGAAGTCCTGACCCAAGTCGACCCATCCCTCGGCGTCTGTATCGTCTGCTGCGCGCTTTGACCACGGCACGAAAGCGACATAGAAGTCTGCGAGCTCGCCGTCGTAGTTTGGAACACGTTCTTCATCTTCGAGTCGCTCTTGCAGTTCCTATGGCAAAGTCAGTACTAGACTGAACTAACGTCGCACGTCTGCTGCACCTACCTCACGGCGGTCGGCGATTATCTGCTTGTCGCGAGCAACCTGTCGAGTAAGCTCTCCGTGCGCGTCTTGAAGCTCTTGCGCGTTCCCACCGGTCGCCTGTAGCTCTTCTGTCTTCGCTCGTAGTTCCTCGTCTAAGCCGGCCGCAACACCATCGAGATATTCCTGATAGTGGATGATTCGCTCTGCAGACTTCGGAGCCATGTTGTACGCGAGCTTGACTTTGGAATCTGCACGGTGGAGCGTGTTGAACTTGAAGGGCGAAAGCGCAGAGAAATTTGCAAAGTTGAGGTCGTGCAGTTGGACTGTTGGTGTCGTGAAGTTGTGGTGGTGAGTCGAAGTTCTTGGAAGTGCGAAGACCTCTGAAGTAGGGGGAAGCAGCGCGGATTAAATACTTCCAGTCCCGCTTCACGAGCCTTCAGATGCGAGCAGTGCCGACACAGATTCACTTCTACTCTTAAGATCGCACGACGCGAACGATTCACTGGCGGAGCCGGGAGTAGGCGGCAGGACATGGAATCACCAAATTAGCGCCTCGTCATGGAATCCATAGCGACGCCGAACTGCAGGCTATGATCTTGCTGATTTTTGCAAAAGGTGAGTTGCCGTCTTTGGAGTCTAACACCTAGTTGATGCAGAAATGAGGGTACAACAGAGCTGTGTATATAGTGCTGGGCGCGTCTGGACTGCGGGTACGGTCGAAACTCGTATACTGGTTCATATTAGCCAATGTTCCCGATAATAATGATCGACTGAGAAGGGGCCACACCCAGGAGACTGCACATGTAGGATACGATAATGGTCACAAGTCATGTAGCCTCTATTGCTAGTATCGCAACCCGAATGGGTAGATCAAAGCAGCGAACAAAGCCGAGGATTGCTGCAATCAGCCAACAAAGCCATTGTGTAAGCAAGTCAGAATGTGACAAACCGCAATCAGAGTCTGCTCCCATGGAGAGCCTCTTTTTCATCATGGAGGAGACATGTCTGCCTGATTGCTCTCTGCGGACCACAGTTCGCATTGACCAATTTCCGGTCATTTGGACGACCCCAAGATAGTAACCCTGGGCTATCGATCCAGTGTGCACTCGGAATGGTCTGTGCCATCGGTGCGGGCTATTCTGTACTTGTGCGGAGATCAAGGATGCGCGTAGATATGTCATGTTGCCAGAATCGTGAGCAATTCCTCTTCCAATGTTCTAGAAACCTGCATTCTCTTACGTGATACCACGATACCAGGGTCCAATCGGAGGAGCGTCCCTTTGCAAGCGAGGGCAGCATTCACACGACGTCACTGCGTGAGATCAGTGTTGCCGTACGGCGACTAGACATCACTACATGTAGCCCGTTGCTTGTCCTCTTCGGGTATCATTGTCTCTTTCCCCAGCTTGCGGTCTTTCCTCAGCGGTTCCTCGAAGCTCTTTTAGAACGGCGCAGCGGGAGCTGCCTCTGGCCATCCAGATATTGACCGGGGGCCAGTCGTAGGAAAGTAGAAAGAGGTGGTCGGGTGACTACCAAGCGAGTGCTTTGTCGAGGCCTGCTGAGGAAGCAGACGCGGTATCGGTGCAGGCTTCTGCCCTGTTTCGCCGTCAGGAGCCATGCGGAGCGCTGCCATGGTTCGTGGCTGGAGGATAGAGCCTGATCTGTCAGAACGACGGAGTCCAATGCTACTGCGAAGTGTGAATCTCTCCTGTTACCCGTGGGTAGTCACAAGGCGTAGCTGCAGCGGGCAGGATGCAGGGGTTATGTGGTCTGAGCTTTCTGTATACAAGTTCTCCTCCAGCGACGTCTTGTAACCTTCTCTCTCATCTCTGCTTCTCACCGAAAATTACCTACATCCATCTCATCAGACCATCAGCAGTCCTTTGCTTTGACATCACAGCCATACAAGGCATTCAGCAAGGTTTGTATGAGTTCTACGCTTTCTCTTCCCTCGAGGGCGCTCGACCGGTTTGCACTGCTGGCCGAAGCAGCAGAGCCACACAATCTTCTCCTCTATCGCAGCATGTGCTAACCTGTCTCCAGCCGCACCAACACCATGGCCCCAATGCCGCCGGCGATCTCCTCCAGCGCGCCAATGTTGTCCTGGAGCACTGCCTCCTCCTCTATGTCTTCTTCCTCGACGTCTCGCACTTGGTGCAACCTCACACACTCTCGCCCTCCACAAACGGGGACACTTCCTCCACCGATCTTCAAGTCGAGGACCCTGCGGCCCCTGATGAGCCGTGATTCAGGTACCGATCAGAGCTCTTCTTGCAAAAGCACAGCCAGGTCACGGCCGACACAAGCATGGTCAAGACTGGATCGCAGAAAGTCATGCTCGCATGCACCAGCGGATACTAGTCACGACCGACGGCACTCTACTAGCTCTTGAGATTACAGAAAAGTTCAATACCCGTACTCTCGTCGACAAGTTCGAAACCGCGAATCCAATCTTCCAATGGATGCTCCGAGTAACGCATGACTGAGCCAGCTTAGAAGCGCTTATTCCGAGAATGTAGAGATATCTCCACGCTCACCGAAAGATGCAGACAGCGTAACAAGATCTGCAGATCTGTCGTATGGATATGTTTGAGGCGGAGAGATACCTGGCATCAAACACAAATACAGTCACCGCGGTCTCCACACAAGGCTGACACCGCGCATTTAGCGTTCCAATGCATCAATCCTTGGACGCACAACTGGACCAGCTTGGAAGCGCCGATTCGAAGACGAAGAGTCACCTCCACGCCGACCGAGAAGACCGAGACAGCGCAACACGGTCTGATCACGTCTCATTAAAGGCCACAGCGCTCTCTAGAGCCACATCCGAGATCTGCAATTCACATCAGGTTGACATCAACGAAGACAACGACAGGCTGCTAGCAGCTCATGGACAGAGCTTTGCAAGCACGCTTCGGGGACACACCCTGCTGATTAGAGTAACACATCGCCGCAGCGAAAACATGTCTGTACCATCCAATGAAGCGTCGTTTCCATCGATACACATCCAACTTTCCTCTCGGTCCACGCGATCTGCTCCAGAAATGCAGCTTCTCGCTCATTTTCCCTTTTGGCTTGTCATCGTCTGCCTTGCCTACTTCATTTCACTTTCTTTTCATCACGTTTGAGGCACACCAAAGCTGACCCTGGTCCTCTGGTATGACCTTAAACTGCCTGGTCGACGACCTCGTCGGCATCTCGAGGAGAGACACCCGATCGTGCTGTCACCTGTTGGGCGTCTTCTGATGCACCAGCACAAGCGATCACTCTTTCAGCGACGTGCACCCTCGCTGCAGCGGACCTCCTTCCCCGACGTCCTCGCCCAGTTAGAAGTCCTGGATGGCACTGGAAATTCCTTGTCCGCTGGATACCACATCAGCGCCTGGGATTCCGCCTCCCAACTCCGGTGCAGGCTCCAAGACGGGTCGCTGACAACCATTACGCCAGCATTCGCCTAACAGCAATGTCCGACGAGTACACTACAACAAACTGACCGGAGAGCTACTTGTCAATGAAACGCCATTTGGCTGTCTTCTTTTTTACTGGTGCCACCGGGTCCTGGATGGGCTCGCGTTATGCTTAGCACCCCGGGACAGGCTTCAAGATGGGTCGCTGACAACCATTACGCCAGCATTCAGTCAACAGCGATGTCCTGCGAGTACACTACAACACACTGACCGGAGAGCTACTTGTCGATTGTCCTGCGAGTACACTACAACACACTGACCGGAGAGCTACTTGTCAATGGAACGCCATTCGGCCGTCTACTCTTGTATTGGTGCCACCGGGTCCTGGATGGGCTCGCGTCATGCTTAGCACCCCGGCATCATGCCGCGCGGGTCACAGGCTCGCGGAAAATGGCGCACGTCTGGCACATGACGAGGATACATTCCGCCTCGCTGATCGCATGAAGAACGAGGAAAAGCTGCGGGATTTCTTTGCTTTCGCCGTATTCTGGAGCATCAGATACGTCCTGGATCATTGATGAGCGAAATGGAGTTGTTCGATCGTCGCTGGGTGGTGCTGGATCGTCATGTTGTCGCCGGAGCGTGACACATTTGGCGCGTGACAACGAGACATTCAGCCTCGCTGAGCGCACGACAAACGAGGAAAAGCTGCGGAATTTCTTTGCTTTCGCCGTGTTGTGGAGCATCAGATACGTCTTGGATCACTGCTGAGCGAAATGGAATTGTTGGTTGGCCACTGGGTGGTGCTCGATCATGATGTTGTCGCCGGAGCGTATCGTAGGAAACAACACATCGGCTGAGGTCGAACCTGCTCTGCTGCGTACGATCGACAGAAATCAAACGAGGATCTCTGTTGGAGAGGGAGAAGGGAGGATTGATCAACACAGGCGTGACAGGCCGCTGCGGAGGCTTTCATATTGTTTTCAAGGAAGAGCATGTTCCTCGCCCCCGGACCTGGTCATCGGTACACGACTTCAGACCGCTGCGAGCCTGCGTCAAGACTGCTTTTGGGTTGAACATCTACCAATGAGTCTCAACTATGGCATTGGGCCTCGGCAGCAATCATCTTGGAATGACGTTCGGGTTGCGGCGCTGGGCGCTCTTGACAATCTCGACGACATCGAAGGAAAGAGGTTGACTCGACGAGATCAGATTGAAACGGTCCTACACAATAGACAGGAATGCGATCATATCCCCAATCCGACTTGCAAAGCTCCTTCGACGGTGTACCGCTTTGTTGAGGCTTCCTTTTTGCTGCCGCTCCGCTGATCTCCACCCCGGCAATCGACTGCGACTCAAGGTTACGCACGCTCTCGCCGCTTCAGCAGTGACTCAGGTATTCCCCGATCAGCTACAGTCCCATCTACGCAGTGGTATCCAGGATACGGCGTAGAGGCCGTTCATACAACCATGCTTCACATCGCCAAACCTCCCTGATATTGACCAGCAGCAGGCTCGCTGCACTGTGCGCGAACTAGCCTTTCTACTACGATCTCGATTACGACAGTCATCCTTCATTGTACGGCATGCTGTGTCCGGTACTCCTACAACCGTCTTGGTTGGCGTGATGAGCGTGCGAATCGCCGCGTCTCCCACGGAAACTTCGCAAGTCACAAGATCTGTCGAGGTCTCAGCGGAACGGCAAAGGGTCTTGCAGGGAAATAGAGGTGGATGACGTGGAGCGTTGAGAAGAATGAGGAGGCTTCACGTCATATTCTGTCGGTACTGTCTTGCATTTTCTTAGTATCACAAGTG